GCCAATGATTGGGGCTTAAAAAACGATTTGTGGTACTGCCGGCGTTTAACCACCTAAAATTATTCATCTACAGTACTTAATATTGGAACACTCCCAAGCTTCCCGCTGCTTGCCGAGCTAGGAATACCATACCTTCAGGTTTTGGCTTGCAACATTTACAGAAGAATCACTGCCCTGTGTGTGTTCCTCCAAGTCCTGCTGGCCAGCCAGGCTGGCTGGTCTGTCATCAGTAATGACTTGGAATATTGTGGACGTGGCTCACTGAGGAACCAGACTATTACAGAGGTCAACTGGATTCTGATCTTCCATTGCAAGGAGTCATTTTTGGAGCCATTACTCAGGATGGTTATTGGTTAGTCATTAACCATCTGACAAGTGCAGGCTTGAGCCCTTTCTAGACTGGCTCTTGGAGGAAAATAAAGACAATGTCCTATTGTGTGTACTCTCTTTCTTAATATTTGGCTAAGTCTCTCATTTTGTCTCAATGATTCCCTAATTCTGTTGTGTCTCTCTCACTTGTTTCTCTTTCCGCAATAGTGGTTCTCTCAATCCTAGTGAATCTGTGTTCTGAGACACTACCCATTTGAAAGGCAGAGTAAATGTACATTATTGTTGTCGACTCTCTTTCTCAGTATTTAGCTTTCTCATGCTGTAGCTCAGTTTTTTTGTATTTAATTGGTATCTGACAGAAGGTCTACAGAACTCCTGACAGATACCCTATAGCACACTTGAGTGAACACTAACCACAGAAAGACAGAGAGGAGGGAACAGGAAAACTAAGAAAAAGACAAAGCAAGAGAACAAGGAACAAAAAGGCTTGAGGAGAGCACCAAAGAGACTTAAAACTAACTGCTTAAACTAAGCTCATTCTTCTTTCAATTTGGCTCCATGTTCCAATTTTAAGTCTATATTTGCAGCATTTTCTGAATCCTTCTGTTTGTTTCTTCTCCTCTACAACAACTTGCACTTATACAGCACTCTCCGCGCAGGGTAGCGTATCAGACCCTTAAAAGTGGCAGAACCTGACTCTGAGCCGGGAGTAGCGGGGAGGTGGCCATCAGCACAATTGAAGAGGAAAGTCTTCACGTGGGACTTGAAAGAGAGGAGAGAGGGAGCAAGGTGGAGGGACTGAGAGTGTTCCAGAGTTTTGGGGTGTGGTGGCTGAAAGCACGACCTCCAGTGGTAGGGTGGAGGGTGCGAGGAACGAGCAGGAGGCCAGTGCCAGTCGAAATGTGTAATCAACCATAACATTATGAACAATTAAAATATTTAAAATGAGACATTCTTCACCCAAACTAGAGTGGTGTGCAGGAGCCTAACGCGCTGTGGCGTGTGCTCGGATTAGTGGCACTGTGCACTGGTGCAATGACGCATTACACCACAGACTGGCAAAGGGACAACTCTCTCTATGATAGCTACATGATGAGATTTCAGTCACTGCCGCACATGCCATGGGGCAGGATGAACCATTACATGGAGATGAGGTGCTTTCTCATCTGGAGAGAGGATGGGCAAACCAGAGGATGGGGCTTAGGGGCCTGACAACAGTTTGGCTGTCAATGGGATAAAAAATCATTACGTTCAATTACCATTACCTAAAAAACATTACCCAATCAATGCAATCGATCAGCACCAACAAAACTGCCTGGAGTGGAACATCTCTAAAGATAATTGCCATCACCTTCCTCCAGGTCTGTATCCAGGTTGGTTCTGGCAGTGCTGTCACATGACCAGAATGGGCTCCTAATATTGCTGGCCTTTTACTCTGATACAATTAGCACATTTTTAAAGGGCTTTTCTTTAGACGAAAGAGCAAAGAAAAAGTGACCAGTGCGGAATTTCTTGAGTTTAAGTGTTTCAATGACTTTGAGACATGATCCGAGGGACTTTTGAACCTTTGAGTGAAGCAGATCAAAAGAACAATCAGTCCTGTTCCACTGAGGATACAGCAGACACACACACTGGCACTTTTTACAGTGAGTAACTGGACAAGTTAATGTGACACGCACAGCTTCGTGGAGCATGTTATAATTCTCATTAAATAAGGAACAAGTGCACCCTCACCAGCATTACAGTAATTCTACAAAAACAATCTCTGCAGTGCAGGCTAGGCAGCGGCGTGCGGCAAGTTGCCAAGTACAGGAACTGGAATAAATCTACACAAGGTGACAAGCAGTACTAGAGTTCAAACTGCAGGTGAGGTTGACTTCCAGCATTTTGAGATTTTCTTATGTTCAAGGTGTTATACAAATCCAAATACGGTAGTTGTTGGCTTGGGCAAGTCCATAACCTATCAGGTGATTGGGTGGGCAGGAGAGATGGATAGATAGTGAACAACTGGTCGGGGACAAATGACCAATGTGGGTACTGATTGCCCAGGACAGGCAAAATGAGATTGACCAACATTCAGACACAGGAGACAAAATATATAGATTAATATATATAGAGATATAATGTTTTATATATATGATGTATATATTAATATAAATATATGGAAATTCTTTCTTCACAAAAGAGGATGCCGCCAATGTCATGGAGGAAGTAGAGAAATTGGATAAAAATAGAGAAGATACTGAAAAGGTTAGCAGGGCTCAAAGGAGAAAAGTCACCCGGTCCAGATGGGATGCATCCTAGATTGCTTAGGGAAGTTAGGGTGGAAATAGCGGAGGCTCTGGCCACTATCTCACTGGCCCTATGATGTGTCATCTTATCAAACACTTTCTGAAAGTTCCCAAAAGCCGCTGAAACCCTGGTCCATGGCTTTGTCACCTCTCGGCTGGACTACTCTAACGCCCTCCTCGCCGGTCTCCCATCCACCACCATCCATAAAATCCACATCATTCAAAACTCTGCCGCCCGCATTCTCACCTGCACAAAACTCCGCTCCCCGATCCCCCCAGTCCTGGCCAGACTGCATTGGCTGCCTATCCCAGAGAGGATCAACTTCAAGATTCTCACCCTTGTATTAAAGTCCCTGCACTCCTCTGCAACCCCCGACCTCTCTGACCTCCTCTCTCCTCAAAACAGCCACTATGCCCCGAGCTCTGGAACTCCCTTCCTCACTCCGTTCGCCTCGCCCCCTCTCTTCCTATTTTCAGGTCCCTGCTGAAAACCTTTCTTTTCGACCGCGCCTTTGGTCACCTTCCTCCCCCTCCCCCTCGCTCCTCCCCCTCCCCCTGGCTTGGTCCCGGGATCCGTTACTGTGAAGTTCTCTGAGACGCCGTCTGGCGTGGAGAACGCTATATAAATCCAAGTGGTTGTTGTTGTCCATATAGACTACATTAATCCTCTCTATTATACCATCAAAGAACTCAATTAATTTTGTCAGATATTTGCCTTTAACAAATCTGTGTTGACTGTCATTAATTAAATAATGTTTTTCTAAGTGAAAATTCATTTGGTCCCAGATTATGGTCTGTAGAAGTTTTCCCACTACTGACGTTAGGCTGACTGACCTGTAACCAGGCTTATCCTTTTTTGAACAGGGGAGTAACATTTGCAAACCTTCAGTCCTCGGCCTCTACTCCCATATCCAAGGATTAAAAGGTTGTGGCCAGAGCTTCCACTATTTCCACCCTAACTTCCCTCAGCAATCTAGGATGCATCCCATCTGGACCGGGTGAGTTTTAATAATAATAATAATCCTTGCATTTGATATAGCGCTTTTCACGTCTTCTAGACGTCCCAAAGCGCTTCACAGAACACACTGTAAAGTGAATTGACTGAATATTTGTGGGCAAACGCGGCCACCAATTGCGCACAGCAATGTCCCACAAACAGTCGTAGATTGAAAGTGACCAATTTATTATTGTTTTGTTTTGGAGGGATTATTATTAGGCTCTGTGTGGAGTAAGAAAACTTGCCCAAGGTTTCGCCCTCTGCCTGGAACTGAACTCAGGTCTCTCGCTTGCAAAGCGAATGCTCTAATCACTGAGCTACAGGACTCCACTACTTTTCTACTTTGATCGTTGCTAAACTTCTGAGCCAAACCACTTGAGCCAATTCGGTATTGGGGAGGGGCCTCTACGAGAGTTCTCCAAGAGGAATTTATCCCACAATGTGATAATCACATTTTCCACCATGTTATATAACACATTGGTAATTGGGTATAATCTCCTTTGTATGTTATGTAACATTATTGGTTAGAGCCCTCCTGCATATATTGTAATCTATTGTAGTTTATTACATAAGACATTGTGTGTCACTGGAAGCTTCTTGTACATATTATATAAGAGACTGTGTGTTATTGGGTACATGACCTGGGTGGTGGGGTGCCCAGGAGATCAGATGCAAGTGATAGCTGAGCTAGTGAACCTAAGTTGCTCTTTATTTGGAGTTGAGATGTTCGGGTCATTCTTCCTGATTTTCTTGGAGATTTTCCAACTTTTTTTTTCCAGAATGCCTTTGTCCAAACAAGCTTGACTGGGTTTTTGGATGTCACTCACTCACCTCTGTTGTGTGGACAGTAAAAGTTCAGAGACCAATCAATCATTGCTTGCTATCAGCAACACTTCTTGTTGAATCATTTTCTATTTTACTTTGATCGCATTTGTGATCAGCTTCAGCTCTTTCTTCATCCTGGCCCCAGCCAAATGTTCATTTCTTCAACAAGCAACAAAAAGCTTCTTCACTCGGAGTTCCTTTCCATTCTCTCATTCATATTTGAGACACTACACTCATGATTGTTAGTACAGCAAAGCTCATTAACATGATCCCATTCAGCAAACAGAGAGGAAGAGACACACCGCACTGTGTTACACACCACATACCAGACCATCCAGAATTCCTTTTCTTTCTAATCTGTATAAACTCTCTTTGTTTAAAGTGCTTTGCACCCTGTGTCGAAAAGAGGGAACTCTCACCTTATAGGATGCACAATGTGTTTTCCTCGGTTGCTACCCGACTGTCGGTAAACACAGAATTCAGACATTATGTTGATTTGATCTTCTCCTTACTCTACCAGAGACATGTTACTGTGAATAATACACCAGATGAGACAGTTTTGAGTATCTGATTTATTCTAACACCCTTCTCCAGTCAGTACCAAATCTCTACAGATAGGAAAATGCAGCTTCAACCATGGAGGGAGGGAGGACAGTGTAAACTGGGATGAGGGCAGATGTATTGTGTAAATTTACAATGAATAGAACTCAGATTCAGGTGAATTAAACTGAGAATGTCTAAGCGCTCAGTGACCAAGTACAAATGCAAATGAGTGAGATCAGCAGACAATCTGATTCTGATGCCGGCCTGTTTTACTGAAGAAAGGCTGATTGGTTCTTGGTCTGTGTTCTTGTGTTGGCTGGAAAGTAAACTAATTAGTCATCTTCAGAAGCATCTCTTCCCAGTTCTTATTCCCATGCTACATTCTGGAAAGTATTAAGCCCATAATTGACCTTTATTCTGAAAGGAAAAAAGGAACGTGTGTTACACAACACTTTGGTCAACCTAGCCCAGCATGCACTCTACACCCACAATCTAACTCAATGCACACACACAGTGGACACGCTTATTGTTCGAGATTTCATTTATAAGCATAACGTTGTTGTTGTTATTGTATACATTCTTCCTCCAAAGCCCAAGCTGATTCCATTCCTCCTCTCTCCTGAAGAAGCTCACCTTTGCTGGGGTTAAGGCTCCACGTGCTTCCTAAGTCTCTTCCCAAGAATGGGAAGATTCTGCTGTTATCTGCAGCACATTCTAAGCGCTCTGAGATGCTACCTTGCATGGAGGGCAATATATAAATGCAAGCTGTTGTTGTCAGAAATGAAATCCTGGATGAGAGCCAACTTTCTACAGCTGAATGTCAGCAAGATCGAGACTCTCCTGATTGGCTCGTGCCAACACCTCCACACTTCAGGCACTGGCAGCGTCAGCATCCATGGATGCACACTCCATCTCACCAAGCCAGTCAGGAACCTAGATATCTTGTTCCTCAACCCTCAACTGTTCTTTCTCCTCCACATCTATGCCTTGATCCGTTCTGCCTTCCCCCACCTCTGCAACATTGTCCGACTCTACCACTGCCTCACCCCTCAGGCCGCTGAAACTTCATACACTCATTCGTCACTTCAAGGCTCAACTATGGAAACCCCTTCCTTGTTGGCCTCCCCAACTCTTCCCTCCACAAGCTGCAGATCATCCAGAACTCTGCAGCTCATGTTCTCTCCCACACCAGGGCTCTGTGACCCCATCACCCCCACCCTCGCCCAACTCCATTGGCTCCCCATCCCTCAGGGGATAGAATTCAAAATTCTCGTCCTCACGTTCAAGATCCTCCATGGCCTTGCCCCCTCCTACCTCTCTGACCTGCCGACCCCCTATCAACCTGTCCACTCCCTCCGTTCAGCAGGCTCCGGCCTGCTCCAGGTCTCCCGCCCGACCCACCATCGGGGCCGGGCTTTCAGCCTCTCTGCCCCCACTCTTTGAAATTTCATCCCACAATCCCTTCCTTCGGTTCGCTGCCTCTCTTGGCTCCTTCAAGGCACGACTCAAGACCCTCCTTTTTCACCGTGGCTTCAGCCACTCTACTACCCCCCCTGCCCTCCCTCATCCCAATGCTGACCCCCACCCCCAACGCTCGGGTCCTGATCCCTGACGGTTCAGCACCTGACATGAAAGGCGCTTTAGGATGTAATTTTGTTGTTATGTAACGATGATTCTTGGAATGATGAGATTTATTTCTTTCCCTCACCCAGGGAAGCCAAGTATAGAAATCCCACTGGAATCAGTTAATCCCACACAAGCCAGGGATGAAACCTAGCACTTTGCTGGTCTTTATAACGCAATGCATTTAGCCATCAGGGAGAAGGATTTTGAAGGTAGAATCTCACACTTGTGCGCTAAGCAGAAATATACCATTTTCGGTGTAAGAAATAGTTATTAAATTCTTCGTTGGTGAATCAGTTTACGAAACTGAAAGTTAGGTCAGCTTATTTTTAAATCTAAGTAATGGTGATTTCATGGATTTTGTATGTGCTCTCCTCAGACAAACACCTCTCTACCTAAGCTCTGAGATGCTGGCCTTCGTGGAGAGCGCTATATAAGTGCAATTATTGTTGTTGTGTGGGTGACCAGATCCAAGACATCGACTGCTATTGTATATCAGGTTCAGGATAGCATGTCCCAAGGACCACTCTCCCCCAGGGACCACTCTCCCCCAGGGACCACTCTCCCCCAGGGACCACTCTCCCCCAGGGACCACTCTCCCCCAGGGACCACTCTCCCCCAGGGACCACTCTCCCCCAGGGACCACTCTCTGTGTGAAGGCTGCTTGCTATGGCTCAGCTATGATCAGAACAGAAGACACAGGTTGAACGTCGGTCCTATCCCTCCACACGGACCAGATGAACTAGTTTAGTTTTTAATCTAAGAGTTAAATATTAAACCATAAAATCCGCTTTCCAGCAGCCGAAGTTAAAAGCCATGGAACTTACCACAGGCCACACATAACTGCTGCTCTTCATCATAGTACTGATGCACTGGGCATTTGTAGCAACCTGAGAATCACATGTAATGATTCCTTATGTTATAGTTCACAATGTGTAAGTAAACACAGAAAATCTCACACAAAAAACACATTAAATTCTGCTCTCAGTAATGGGATAAAAACATTTTGACAGCATTAGTGTGTGTGTGTTTGTGTGTGTGGAGGGGGTATGAGAGGGGAGTGTGTAGAGGGGGATGAGAGGCTTATGTGTGTGGGGGTGAGATGTGTGTGGGGGGTGAGAGGAGTGTCTGTGGGGGAATAAAAGGTGTATGTGTGCAGGAGCGGGTGTACATGGGGAAGGGTATATGTGTGTGGGGGAGGGGGAGGTGTGTGTGGGGGGGTTGAGAGGCGTTTGTGGGAGGGGGTGAGGTTTGTGTGGAGGGGTGATGTCTATGGGGGCGGTGAAATGTGTGTGGGGCGGGAGGTGTGTGTGGCACGAGTGGTGCATGTGGGGGTGTGGGGGGTTGAGGTATTGTGTGGGAGGGGTGTGGGGTGCGGTGTGTGTGGTGGGGAGGTGTGTGTGGAAGGGGTGTATGTGTATGGGGCGGGTTCTATGTGTTGCAGGGGGTGGGGAGGTGTGTATGAGGGAGGTGTGTGTGCAGGGAGGGTGAGGGGGTGAGGAGTGTGTGTGGGAGGGGTAGGATGTGTGTTTGGGGGCTGGTAATGTGTTTGGGGGGGTTGGTGGGATGTGTGTTTGGGGGCTGGTAATGTGTGTGGGGGTGGTGGGATGTGTGTGCGGGATGAAGGGTGTGTGGGAGGTGTGACAGGTGTGGGGGGGTTAGGTGTGCATGGTGGGGGGTGAGGGGTTTATGTGGGGGGAGGTTTGTATGGCAGAGGGAGATCTGTGTGGGGGGGTGTGTATATTAATGGAGGGGAGGGGTGTGCGTGGGGCGCAGGGGAGGTGTTTGTGGGGTGAGGTATGTGTGGCGGGTGGTGAGGGGTGTGTGGGGGGTGAATTGTGTGTGGCGTGTCTGGAGATTGTATGTGTGTGGGGGGTGGGGGGGGGAGGTGTGTATGGGGTGGGGGGGTGTATGGGGGAGGAGGTGTGTTGGAGGTGAAGTGTGTGTGGTGAGGTGTGTATATGTTGTGCGGAGGAGGTGTATAATGGGGGGGTGAGGTGTGTGTGGGGGTGAGGTGTGCATGGTGGAGGGGGGTTGGGTGAGGGAGGTGACCCCAGCGTCTTACCTTCCATATTGCTCTTTGGGAAGCTCCAAACGTTGGCAGGACAAATACAAGGCTGATAATGCCAGGAGCAATTCCCAGTCTGCACAGCTCTGAACTCGTCATTATAATGGTCGTCGTGGTTGTTGAAATACTCACAGTAAATCGCTGCAAGACACTCACCATGGTTAAGGCCTGGTACACTGTCCCTCACCAATCACCATACTGTCACTCATTTCAAAATGTAACACAAGTTAGACACAAGTCTTTTCTCAAATTTTGTCTAATATAAATTAGTTCATTAATATCTTCAAAAAGAAATCTTCTATTTGTCACACCAATATTTAATCACTGTGTATCCTGCAGTGAATGGGCCTTTTTAATCCTGATTGTAAAACCGTTCCCTTTAAAGGGTTAATTGGCAAGAGAACTTACGACAAAAACTGATGGTTCTCCAGTCGATACAGATCCCTTTGTCTAAGCAAGCTTTAGCGTAAACGGCCACAGCTCCGCACAGGCAGTCACAGTCCCCAAATACTTCACAGCCACAAGCATCTCGGATGCACTTCTTATAATATGGAAGTTGGAAAACCTGTAATAAAAAGTCAGAAGCTGATACTGAAATGATATAATCATCTCAAATGTAACATCAAATGCAAGGATTATTATTATTATTATTATTATTTAAGATTTAAGGAAAAGCAGCTTCAAAACTAAGATTGAATTGAGCAATTGTCCCAAACTGCCAGGTTTGACATTTTTAGCCAATGGTGTTGAAGTTTACAGGTGTTTAGGTGTGAGCGTGATGTACAATCAGCGCATTGTACTGTGTACTCTGACGTCCGGTACCTCCATTCCCCTGTAGAACTTGCAGCGGGTGATAAACTACAGCACTGTTGATAACTCCTCAAAGCTCTGGAACTCTCTCCCTCAATCCCTCCACCTTGCCCTCTCCCTCCCCTACTTCAAATCCTGGCTAAAGACCTTCCTTTTTGATCATTCTTACGGTCTCCTCCCTCTCTGTCTTCCCCTGGCTAATTGTCAGACTCCACCACTGTCAAGCGCTCTGGGACGCTACCTACGTGAAGGGCGCTATATAAATGCAAGTTGTTGTTGCGTGGAACCAATTTATCCAAACTAGGGTAATTAAAGCAATCATGGAATTTCTTTCCAAACATTTGGACCACAGGGTTTAGAGCACGTTTGATGAGCAGATGGGGGATTCAGTGAGTTACATACGTCCCTTTCTCTTTGGCAACCTGGGTTTGAATCCAGGCTAGAGCAATGGGATGAAATTGTCCCCTGTCTGTTGACTGTAGGACCCTGGAGTGCAATCGGTTTAGGAAAATAATGAATTGCTGTTTGCTGGTTTTGCATTGTTCTGTACTTTGCTGCTGAATTTCTACCCATTGTTCTGAGGAGCTTGTGCATTCCTGTGCTCCGTGACCAGCTGAATATTACAGCGAGAATGGGATTCATGGAAGTGCTGCATTGTTTAGAGTATCTGCTGACCAGGTTTACCATGCAAAGAACTCAACCATCGAGCACCTGCAGTCACTCAATGATGTGCACAATATTTAACATGCATAGGAGATACTCACCACCTTGTGGCACGAGTTGAAGATGGCACTGTTAATCACAGCACACTGCTTTTGTGCCCAGGCCAAACGAGCTGGACTGAGATCACATGGATCTATAATTACAGTCACATCTTGACACGTGGGCTCTTCCTTCCAAGTGTTTGCAAATTCTAGTGGATCGGCAGCAATGTACATGTTCCGAGTTAAAAAATCATCTCTTATATCACCATTGAAATTGCCACAGAGACCACAAACTGAAAGCTGACAACATATGGCAAGTTTTAGTTTTTCTGCATATTGTTTGATTGAATAGCACGACAGCCAGACAATGCGATTCCAGCATTAGATCAATTGCTCTATTGATAAGAAATTATGTCACAAACATTCATGTCCTTCAATATAACCTGACTGATGTTGGGTTACCTGAGACTGTCGGGTGATCTGGATAAAAGCATTTGTGTTCTTATTCCATAAGATGCTGAGGATATGACTTCCAGAGATGGTTGCTTCGAAAGACAGATACATAGGATTGACGGATATGTGAAAACTGTTTGTCTGAGTTTCAGGGGTTACTTTGTACGTGCCATCTGTCATTTGTATCAGAACATCCAACCAGACAAGAGCATGGCATTACTTTTCAAATTTTGAAGCACATTCATTCCAGGTTCGTAGAAAAGTATAAATACTGTGTCCCAGGTCTTACATCACAGTCCCATCATAGAACAGCTTGATTTTATATACAGGGTGACCAAAAAGGTGTGATACGATGATGATGTCTAATAGGTCTTAAATAATTTTTTTTAAGATAAGGTAGATAACACAACTTTTGGTCACCCTATATATATTGTGGAGTCCTGTAGCTCAGTGGCATGCCCACTCGCCTCACAAGCGAGAGACCTGGGTTTGATTCCCAGCAGGGTGAAACCTTGGACAAGTTTCCTTACTCCACACGGCTGATACTAATCCCTCAAGGAAAAAAAATAATACATTGGTCACTTCAATCCGCGACTGTTTGTGGGACACTGCTGTGTGCAATTGGCTGCCGCAGTCAATTCACTTTACAGTATATTCTGTGAAGGGTTTTGAGACATCTAGAAGACATGAAAAGCGCTATATCAAATGCAAGATTATTTTATTATTTATATATACACAGTATATATTATACATACACCCTTCATGCAGGATAGCCTTCTTGGAGTGCATTACATTGGTGGGATTGGACACCGAGCAAAGGAGAAGAGGGAGGAGCAGTCAAAGAGGTAGGTTTAAAGTGAAATTTAAAGATAGATAGAGATGGGGGAAGCAGATGGAGGTAGGGTGTAGGGTGTTCCAGAGTGTAATGACTGAATGGTCAGCCTACGATAGTAGTGCTGAGGGTGCAGGAGATGCACGCAGGCCTGTATTAGCAGAGCAGAAGGTGCAGGCCGGGAAGCAGTGTACAAGCAGATCAGAGATAGGGAGATACTTAGGCATATAAATATATGTGACTGTCAATCACTTACAGAGCCAGTGAGAGGTACACAGGCTGTTATCTCCTTACCCCAATGTAGATTTTTATCTCCCTGGAACAAGTTGCTCCCGATCTGCTGCTACAAATCATATTCTCAGTCACAACCTTGAAGCTGGGGCGGGTGCTGTTGGCACAGCAGGAATCCTGCAGTCCCAACACATTCAATATGTTTGTTAAAAATTATTTATACACTAAGAAACTATTACAATTTAAAAAAAGTTATGATGAATTCTTCTGCTTTTACCTGAACTAAAGTGTATTCACAATTACCATCGAACGTAAAGGATTTGCCATCAAAGGTGGTAAGGTGGCCATCGCCGTGAATGGCGCATGTCGCTGGACAGCTCACTTTCTCTTCACATTTCCATTTACCTCTCAGGCAGACACTAAAACAGCACAAATTACTGCATGAGTATATTACAGTCACAGAGAGGAACATGTCAATGTGTGAGTACAGCTACAGTCACAGAGAGGAACAGGTCACTGTGTGAGTACAACTACAGTCACAGAGAGGAACAGGTCACTCTGTGAGTACAACTCTCCAGGACGCTACCCCAAGTGAAGGGCGCTATATGAATGCAAGTTGTTGTTGTTGAGTACAGGCAGTCACATAGCCGGGATGCTCATTGTGTGCAGATGCATTCTATATTGTGGGATTTTATGAACTGAAGGAGAATTGAAATTAAACAATTTGGAATTCTCTGATCCATTCGGTACACAACAGCTGAGTGAAGTTGCTTGTTTTTTTAGAATGATTTTTCATAGCAGTAAGTTAATGTCTAAATTCCTTACCATTTCTGACAGTCTTTGATCATTTTCTCTCCCCGCTTATAGATCTCAGACCTGAATTTACAGGAGCAATTGTTGGGGTGGACACATGTGTCATTTTCATCAAGAACCGTCCCTTCAAGACAGATACAGCCTGACACACACTCAGTTGGTGTCTACATTTTGAGGCAAGGGAGAATAGAACATTAAATTTGAAATGATTATTAAAAGCCCTTTATTGTGGGAGAAGAAAGAGCTGCACTTGTTACTCACACAGGAAACATTCATGGCAATCATTTGGCAGGTCTGAGCGCAGGAGGTACCAAACTGGTCCTGAGCCCCATATGCACAGTTAAAGTAAACTTTTTGAGGATTGCAAAGTCCTGAAAAGATAAAAAGATATTACCTATTACCAGCACTGAGTGTGGCAACATCAATTAAACCAAGCCCAATGATGCAGGGAGACCAGTTTGAAATCACATCTCACAGCATACAAATACAAATTTACATTTACATAGTGGCTTTCATGTTGGAAGGATGTCCCAAAGCACATAAAACCTGTTCAATTTAAAATGTAAGTACACATTTACATTTAATACGAGGAATCTCACAGGACCTTTGTAATCTGTAAACTGGCCAGAGCACTTCACTTTCCCTTCTCTGCAGCAGCTGTGAAAAGAGACAGGGCAGAATGACATTCCATTTGTGTACTGTAGGAACGACCCAAACCCAGTCATATAATTATTTCATTTCATATAGCACCTGTATCCAAAAGACAACATCTCTGATAATGCAGTGGTTCCTCAGCATTGCACTGGAGTGTCAGCCAAGGATATGAGCTCAAAGTCCGGTCACATCTTTCACATTACAACTTGCTTTGCCAAAGTGTAGCTTATATTTAGGTTTTGCACGTGATTGCTTTTATTTGCTTTTATCTGTTCTACCAATAATCTATGTAAGATGTGTGTGATGTCTATCTAGGGTGTTCTAAATGAGCACTGTCTGCAAGTGGCTTAAGTCACACGTGTGGAGCCTGTGCTCCAAGGATAATAACCCTTGCATTATCTTGAGAAGATGCGCATTATCTGCTGGCAGGACTACCAGTGGTTAAGTGGGACAGGATCAAATATCCCTCAGCTGAGCAGTCTGAAATGCTGTACACTGTCCAGCGCCTTGGGACGTCCTCCCGACGTGAAAGGCGCTATACAAATGTAATCTTATTGTTGCTGTTTTCCCAGTTCATCCTTTCCCCACTGTTCTCAATTTCACAAGGATAATGAAGTGTATGACAACAACTTTCATGTGTATACCGCCTTTCACATCAGGAGCACGTGCCACTGCACTGACAATAGTCTAGTGCCCATTTCCTCTTAAACACAGGCACCGGCTTGCACTTCGCCCCTCTCTAAAGGGCTGCGAATACTGCGAATACTGCAAGTCTCTGTCAGTCAAACAAACACAAACAGTAAAGCAAGATCAAAACCAGCAAAGACCTTACATAATACACAGACAGTAAGCACAGTGGGAAGCTGTAAACAAGCTGTGAAGCTGACAAACAGATCTAATGTCTTTATAATATTGATTTCAGAGTCTTTGTATGCAGATCAAGCGGCTGCAGTCACAACTTACCAACTCTGACCATTAATTACTGTTGTCTTGCCTGGTGCTAGCACTTTACCATTGCTCAGAATGCAGGAGCATTGTGTTGCTTTGACACATCTACCATAAGTGTCCAGATACAGGCCCAATGGGCATACACAGCCCTCCACTGGAACATCAGTGGCAGTAAATTCAAAATCCCTGTCAGACAGTGACATACATGTCCGTTCACAAGCCTTGGCGTTGTAACTGAAAATCTGCTTCCCGGGACATGTGATTTCTGTAAAAATACAACCACTACTGTAGGTTACACATATTGTCACTATTATAATTATAATGCATTGTATTATTATACACACTGGAGCATTTAGAACTTCCCCTAGAACAGAGGCACGCACCTAACTGAGCTCAGAGATGTGCATAAGACTTTCAAGATGTGCATAAGACTGGAAACTGAGTAAAAACGGATCATCAAGCACTCCCAATTGCTAAGGTAACAGCAGCCATCACTGGGCTGTGATTTCTTCCCAGACACTGGACAAGGAACCTGTGCAGACCTTGCATACAATGTGAGAGACCATGCAATCTTGTCCTGTTCTGATTTTCAAACTTTTAGCTGTAGTGTTCTGGACACAGATACAAGGAGATCCAGTCAGTCAAATGCATAAATGAGCCATGTTATCCCCAACACACAGGTGGTCTGGATTTCCCTGAATCTGATCCTAATGAGCATACAGTTGCCCAGGTTATGTGTCCTGCTCTTAGGGTAACTAGTGATGTGGTCCAAGGACAGTGCCAGGACAAGAAGTTTATAAAACTTTGTTTGTATCTATTTTACTGGTGCCACTTTCTCTAGTTTCCGCTGCAAAACACATACTTCGGGTCAGGTTCCTGAATGCTGTACAGAGGCCTCCTGAACTTTTATTGCAGGCAGTTTGTACACAGAGTGCTTTGATGATATAATTGAATGCTTTTTGTAACCTTGTGAATCGTTTGCTGTATACTCACTGCAGCGACGTGCACTATTCCTCCAGTTGGTCAAGATCAGCTTCTTTGCGGCGCAAGCATGAGCGTACGACCCGAGGGCTGAACACAGAAAGTCTGGATTCGTTTTATAGTTACATGTTTCATATCTACATTTCTGAAGAATAGAAAATAAAATTCAGAAGAAGCTGAATCAGGTTTGCATAAACACATATCTGGGCTCAAAGCCACTGAACCAAACATAATGGTGCAGGTAAGATGTGGAAAGTTAGCCAGGCACTGCTCCTACCTCTTCATAGGGCAAAGGATCTACTAAATGATGTCCCCTTCCAAATATGCTGGTTGTATCAAGCAGGAGGTAACACAGGGTCGGTGGATAGCCCCCTGTTCAATCAAATACCATTAATATTCTGTTAGTGTAATAGTATTACCAAATGCCATTAATATTCTCCCAGCGCCTTGGGACGTCCTCCCCATGTGAAAGGCGCTATACAAATGTAATCTTGTTGTTGTTGTTGTGATGCTCAGATTAGGCACTTACAGTTGGAGAGGCTGGATTTGCATGGTTGCGTATCAATTACAGGAGCACAGTGTCGATCAAGATGCCAGGAATCCACGAAAGGAGCAGGAGTATGTTCCAAGATTCCAGTGCTGCTCATGAAATCATCCTTGGACTCACCATTAAAATTACCACACAGTCCTGTGATACAATCAGGCATGTGTAATATAATACTGTGGTGACATCTGAATACAATCCAAGTTCATTTAAAAAGCATAATCTATCACATACTGTCTGCAACTTCCCTGTTCCTAAGCACAAGGCTGTAGTTCTAAAGAACACTTTTTGCTGATGCAGATTGTTTGACTTCTACATGCCAGCATTATAATAATCCTTACATTTAATACAGAGGCTTTCACGTTGGAAGCGTTTCACAGGATTTACTGAAGAGTGAAGTGACTATATACTTTGTAACTGAACCAGGTAGTCAATTTGTACAGAGCAATGTCCCACACCCAGGAAGTGAGCCTTGCACTAGCTGTTGTACAATAGTCCTGTGGTACTGCAGTGAAGTGTTACTGAACAAGAACACATGCACCACATGAGTTTTCTCCCGGCTTCGAGTGCAAACCTGAACTTTGTCCTAAATGTTGTCTCGACTAAAAGCAACATAAACCCTGGATCCCTCCCTTCTCTTTAGGCTGCAATATATTTACAACTCACATTTGTGAAACCCTGTCCTACTAAATAGGGCAAAGCGGTTTGTTGATATGACGAGCAATTTCTTCCCCCAAAGAGTGATAGAATTTGGGACGCTTGGCCCTGCAGAGCCAGATTCAGATTGAGGGTCAAAGACTGGTTTGTGGTGTCACAGACGGTCAGATCATAAGTGCGTGCTGCTGGGAGTCTGGGTGTTACACATTTCTGTGTAATTGCAGTGTTTCAAATTGCTGTTTTAGTGTTTGTCAGCAAAATTTTAACTCTTACCAAAGGTGGTGCCAAAAAAGGAACTGTCAATATTGATGTACACCTGAGTCACCGGCTGGATCTGGATCTGCATCTCCAGACCATAAGAGGTGCTTAATTGAATGTACATCGAAGACTGTCTGTAGATTGTGATGGCACCTGAAAGAAAGGCAGAGAATAAAATGAGTTTTGATATCCAGTAATCAAACTATAGCAATGTGATATGATACAGCAAGTCACACCGGACTTTGGTGACGGTGAAGGATTCAGTCATAATAATCCTTGTATTTGATACAGCACCTGTCATGTTGTGACACTTCATAGGCTTTTGTAATGACTGTAAGCAAATGTGGCAGACAACCGCACACAGCAATGTCCTACAAACATCCATAAAGTGAATAACTGATTTTATATGGGGATCGTTGGTCAGGAAACCAGAAGAAATTCCCTTTTCTTTTTGACCAGTACCATGGGATATTTAACAACAATAAATAGGCAGACAGGACCTTGGTTTCATGTCTCATCCAAACCACAAGAGGTAGGAGAAGTTCCACCACCATCTCTCATGGACAGAGCTGAAGAAGTATCAAGCAAATGTCAAAGTTTTGACACCAGAAAACAGGCACTTGCATATTCCTATTTATGCCATACACTAAACATATTACGTGAGGAGGGAACTGAGTGAAGTGGAACAGAGTGAGAATTCTGTTACGGAATTTGGTGAGAGTGGAAATTCGGTGCAGAGGGAGAAAAGGGTGCATGATTATAAAATTTATAACAGTTACATTAAAATAATATAAAACATGTCTGGGAATATGGCAGGACAGCTGAGATTGGTTGCATGCATAATATGTGCCGTGTGGGAACTCTAGGATGCTTTGTGTGCCCTGAACAGACACGTGTGAAGGAAGTGTCTTCTGCTGCTCGAACTTGAGCTCAGAGTTTCTGAGCTTGAGGAGAGGCTGGTCTCATTACATAGCGTGGAGTCCTGTAGTTCAGTGGTTAGAGCACTCGCTTTGCCAGTGAGAGACCGGAGTTCAATCCCCGGGGGGTCAGGGCCAAACCTTGGGCAAGTTTCCTTACTCCACACAGAGCCTAATAATAATCCCTCCAAAACCAAAAACAATAATAAATTGGTCATTTTCAATCTACGACTGTTTGTGGGACATTGCTGTGCGCAATTGGCTGCCGCGTTCGCCCACAGATATACAGTCAATTCACTTTGCAGTGTGTTCTGTGAAGCGCTTTGGGACGTCCTCCTGACGTGAAAAGCGCTATATCAAATGCAAGGATTATTATTATTATGGTAATGTTGCCTCGCTAGTGCCAGGGATGCTGACATCATGGAACGAATGCAAAACATTCTACAGGGGGAAGAGGAACATCCAGAAGTCGTGGTCCATGTTGTGATTCATAACGTAGGGAAAAAAAGGGGTGAGATCCTAAAGGGAGAGTGTCAGGGGAAAGGATTTCTGGAATGTGTAGAGGATAACTTTTTTCTGGATCAGTATGTTTTCAGCCCAATGAGGAAGGAAGCAGTGCTGGATCTAGATCTGGGGAATAAACTGGGGCAGATGCAGCAAGTTTCAGTAGGAGAGCATCAGGACAACAGTGTCCACAACATCATTAGGTTTAGAGTACTTATGGAAAGGGACAAGGAACAATCAAAGGTGAAGATACTCAACTGGAAGAGGGCTAATTTCAGTGAGTTAAAAAGCGACCAAGCTAAGGTGGAATGGAAAGAAAGATTGGCAGGTAAAACAACTAACGAGCAATGGGAAGCCTTCAAGGAGGAGATAGCTAACCGAAAGGAGGTACTAAAAGGGTTGTTGGTGCACAAGGTAGATAAGTCAAAGTCCGGACGGGATGCATCCTAGATTACTGAGGGAAGTAAGGGTGGAAATAACAGAGAATCTGACCACAATCTTTCAATCCTCCTTGGACACCAGGTGGCGCCAGAGGACTAGAAGGCTGAAACTTTACTCCCCTGTACAAAAAGGGGCAGAAAGATAAAACCGGGAACTACAGGTAGTGGGGAATCTTCTAGAGACTATAATCCGGGACAAAATGAATTTTCACTTAGAAAAATATGGGTTAATAAAGGACAGTCAACACGGATTTGATAAAGGCAAATCATGTCTAGCAAACCTGATAGAGTTTTTTGATGAAGTAACGGAGAGGGTGGATGAAGGTAGTGCAGTTGATGTAGCTTATATGGATTTTCAAAAGGCGTTTCGTAAAGTACCACATAAGAGACTTGTAAGCAAAATAGAAGTCCACGGTATTAAAGGGACAGTGGCAGCAGATACAGAACTGTCTGGGAGATAGAAAGTAGAGAGTAATGGTGAACGGCAGGGAAGTGTGCAGTGGTGTATAGGAAGTACTATTTCCAAGTTTGAGGTTGATACTAAGCTAGGAAACACAAGAAACAGTCAGGAGGATAGTAGCAGGCTGCAAATGGACATAGACAGACTGGTAAAATGGGCAGACACAGGGCAGATGAAGTTTAATGTGGAGAAATGCGAAGTGTTGGATTTTGGGAGGAAAAATGAGAGGCAATATCAGCTGATGGTACAATCTTAAAGTGGGTGAAGCAATAGAGAGACCTGGGGATCCATATAAGGAAATCTTTGAAGGTGGCAGGACAGGTAGATAAAGCTGTTAAATAATCATAAGGGATACCAAGCTTTACAAATAGGGGCACAGAATACAAAAGTCAGGAAGTTATGATGAACCTTTATATAAAACACTGGTTAGGCCTCAGCGAGAGACTGTGTTCAGTTCTGGACCCCACACTTTAGGAAGGATGTCAAGGCATTGGAGAGGGTGCAAAGGAGATTTCCCAGGATGGTACCAGGAATGAGGGACTCAGTTATCAGGAGAGGTAGAGAAGCCAGGATTATTCTCCTTGGAGCAGAGAAGGTTAAGAGGAAACTTAATAGAAATTTTCAAAATTATGAGGGGATTCGATAGGGTGAACAAGGAGAAACTATTCCCACTGGCGGGTGGGTCAGTAACACGAGGACACCGATTTAAAATAGTTGTTAAAAGAAACAGAGGGGAGGGGAGGAGAAATTTTTTCACACAGCGAGTTGTTAGGATCTGGAATGCATTTCCTGAAAGCCCTTTGGAAGCCGATTCAATAATAATTTTTAAGAGAGAAGTAGATAATTATTTGGGGAGGACAAGTTCGCAGCTATGCAGTTCTTGGTTTTAACCAATAGATTCTAAATATTCAAATCTTTTCTGGAAGATATGAGGCTGAGGGGACTCTGTCCTCTGATTCAGGGGTATGAGCCAAAATCTGAACACAAATCTGGCACTCTGAAATAAACCAACCTCGGACACAATATAACTCTACTGGAAGCTGAATGAAGTGCAGGGTTCTCAACTCTAGTGTTACCTGTTTTGTAGGGTAAGAGCTTAATTTCATCATTTACTTTTATTGTGTCCTGCCTTGAAATTTCGATTTTTACCTGCGGAAGAAGGATAGCATTCAAATGACTGAACAACAGCTATAAACACAACTAAAAGCCATTGTAAATGAGCATCTAAATTATTTGGCTAGAGGGCCAATATTTTTCACTTGTATTTCTCTACAGCATCTCTACAGGCTCCTCAGGGTTCAGCATTGGCTTAACCAGAGATACATTCAATCTGGCATTGTGTAACAATTGAATGCTTCACACTGAACACTCACCAACAAACACACTGGAGCTGCACCCGAATATCTTTCCCATTTCAGCACTGATTGAATAGCAGCTGCTGCCTTGCTTGCTGTGAAAGATGGTTCTTACCTTATTAATGGTGTAGATTAGGGTCTTCAGGCAGATTTCGGTTGATGTTTCACCACATGCATAAAAAGTTGCTGCTATGTGCCCAGCCTTCGGGTTCTGTGCACTCTGAATAACAATAACAATAAAAAGAACCAATACATGGCCTCTTCTCAGCGTAAGTATTTCTCACCATCATCTTTCTTGCTAATGAAGCACCTGCAGCTGCTGGGTAGAGTTCGTCAATGGCTCTAAGAGACAATGTGCCATGTAAGGCTTTGCTGTACACAGTGAATACAAGGAAGCTATGAAACAAGGGCCCAATGTTTGGATCTGTCCCCACTCTCCTCTACACAGGAGGTTCAGTTGTACAAGTGATCCCCAACATAAGAATTTCCCGATCAAAGCTGCACTGTTGCAGACAGAGAGAGAGGGGGAGATAGCAAGAGACTGCCATATTTCTAGGTAGAATGGGGAGCTTTGAGAACATTACGGGGAGAACAGTGCTGGGGAGGATTAATAAGGTATCATGCAGGTTCATATAATGAACTATCATATGCAACTTCTGAATATGATCTTACTTTGAAGAGCAGATAAGTGCAGAGCCCATGAAATCTGTATCTCTTTAAATCAAACGAGGTGACATACGACCCTCCTTCAACTGAACAGGTCCCAAGGCACGGCTCACTAGTGCAGTTCCACTGGCCTACGGTACACACACTGTGCAGAAAAAATTAATGGAACAGAATTTACACAAGATATTAACAAACATTGTCAGACATTCAGAACTGGTCCAGTTGGACGTTTCACCAATGACGTACAATTATCGTTACTGTTGGAAGAAATCAGACACTGTAAACTGGCCTAGGCAAAGCCGCCTGGTTGTGCCCTGTGTTACACAGCGACCCTAGTAAGTGAGAAGCTGGTTGAATTTTAAGAATCAGTTTATCAGAGGATCCATGTCTATGATAGTTGGAAGGCGTTGTGAGTGCACTGGAATTACTAATAGTCACTACACCTCTCACCACATACCATCACTGACAATCACTACACCTCTCACTGCACATCATCACTGTCAGTCACACCTCTCACCATACACTGTCACTGACAGTCACTACACCTCACACCACACACAAAGCATCCATAGTTTACCAGGATTTGCACAGAGTGTCCTCCTTCTCTCCAGAGGCATAGATATTCCCATTCATTACACAAGGACAAAGATGTTGTTGCTCGCAGCTCTCACCATTGACCATGTCTCGATAGTTAGCCTCTGTGGTGATTTAAAATAGACATTACTCAATATCTATCTTGTATATGGTTGGCCAGCACATGCACATTTGATTCTGGCCACTGCACAACCAATCAATTTCTTTTAACTAATGAAAGTAAATTACTATCTTTTAATAGATTATCTCAACTCAGGAATAGCTAGTTGGTAAAAAGCGTGGTATAGAGCCAGAAGCAGACACCTGGGGCTTCTGGGTGTGATCTGAAGGCCAGACGGATTGCAGTGGTAACTGCAATTGGCCTGAGCTCCTTGTACTGAGGGATGAAAAAGTATGGTTACCACTCCAAATATCAGCCAGTGAAGCCTGTGGCATCGGGAAGGGCAGGATCACATGGCTGAGAACTCTCCTATTCTTACTACCACTGGGTTAGAGGCCCAAGAGGGTCCATGCCCCAGTACAGTCAGAAGAGGGGGAAAGGTGATGATCAAATTAAAATACTTTATTTCAGATTAAATCCTTAATTTTATGGTTGATTGTTTCTGTCTGAAGCATACATACCACAAGCATCCACATGACGCATCCAGTCTTCCAGGACAATGCCCCGAAGTTTACAAGCTTGAACGTAGGACTCAAGTGCACTGCACAGAAAGTCCTGAATGCTTTCATAGTTGCATGTCTCATATCTACAGCGCTGGAAATGACAGACATTGTCACAGATTAGATTCTGTGACCTGCTGAAACTATCTCTTTAAAATCAACGCAACCAATGCAGTCCTGGATGTATTTCTCAGCCCACTCCAGGGATCTTTAGTGAATACAATTATCCCCAAATGCAATTGTTCTCCAGTAAAATGACTGGCAGAGAATCAGAGTGATAGGCAAGTGATTTCCAAATCTTATGGAGCTGATCTCCCATCACAATAATTGGTGGATGAGATGGTTCTGAAGCTCAAAGCCAGTTCAGCGCCAGAAGAGAAGCAGTAAAAGGGGCAGAATCCAAAGACTCCTCTCACTCTAAAAAAATTTTTTGGTTTCATCGGGTTAAGCCAGTGCTGGGCTCATCGGTAATTTTCTACTTTTATAACCTTAAAATCCAAGTCTCGCTGATCGAGACCAGTACAACTGCTGGACCATTGTTTTTATCTTTCCATCTGAATAAGTTTCTCTCTCTCTCTGTTCAGTTATCCCTACAGCAGGACCTGGATATTAGCTGAGTGTGGCAGTGCATCTGAGATAATACTATAATCCTTGTATTTGAGATACCGCCTTATCATGTTGCTAAAGCACTCTATCAAATAAGACGTCAAAGCGTTTCACGGAATATATTGTAAAGTGCAATGACTGTATTATTGGGCGAAACTCGGCAGCCAATTGCACGCAGCAGTTTCACACAAACAATCATGGGTTGAGTGACCATTTTTTTATTGGCGGGATTAATACCCTGGAAAGCGATCTGCGAATCAACTAACAACCAATTTCGAACCCAGGTCCTCTTATTGGCGAAGCGAGCACACTATCCACTATGATATAGGACTCTGTGTGATGTACAAATGTTAACAAGTTTATGTTTCTCACACATTAAGAGCAGCAATAACAAATATCTTAACCGTGGTTCAGACATAGCTTTCACCAGCCTCACCTGCAGAGAAACATGAATATAATGATCGTCAAAAAAATCACTTGTGGAGAGACATGTGAAAGAAGGCCATGAATCAGGAAAGAAAACAACCACAATAAAGCCAGAGAAAGAGCAGATACTGCGAGCAGGACAAGGGTCAGTGCAAGGGGAGAGGCTTGGGACGTGAAAGGCGCTCTATAAATGCAATCTTGTTGTTGTTGTCCTGTCAGACATCAAGCTGAACGTCAGCAAGACCGAGGCCCTCCTGATTGGCTCGCACCAGCGCCTCCGTACCTCGGGCACTGGCAGCATCAGCCTTCACGGCTGCCACTCAACCTCACTGAGCCAGTCAGGAACCTGGGTGTCTTCTTTGACCCTGAACTGTCCTTTCTCCCCCACATCCGCGTCATGGCCGACACTCCCTACCACCACCTCCACAACATTGCCAGACTCCACTGCTGCCTCACCCCTCAGGCTGCCCAAACCCTTAACCACGCATTCGTCACATCAAGGCTCGATTAGGGAAATTCCTTCCTCATCGGCTTTCCCAACTCGTCCCTTCACAAGCTGCAGATCATCCAAAACTCTGCAGCTCATGTATTCTCACACACCAGGCTCCGTGACCCCATCACCCCCACCCTCGCCCGACTCCACTGGCTCCCCATCCCCCAGAGGATCGAATTCAAGATCCTCGTCCTTACTTTCAAGGCCATCCATGGCTTTGCCCCCTCCTACCTCTCCGACCTGCTGACTCCCTACCAACCTGTCCACTCCCTCCGTTCAGCGGGCTCCGGCCTGCTCCGTGTCTCCCACCAAACCCATCCTACCACCGGTGGCCGGGCTTTCAGCCTCTGCCCCTACACTCTGGAATTCCATCCCACAGCCCCTTAGTCTCACTTCCTCCCTTGCTTCCTTCAAGGCCAGTCTCAAGATCTTCCTCTTCGATTATGCCTTCGGTCACCCTCCCACCTCTCTGCCTTCCCTCAACCCTACACCACCCCTCTCCCATGCTCGGTTCCTGACCCCTGACTGTCCAGCACCTTGGGACATCCCTTGGGAGAGGAGAGGGAATGTGGGAGGTGGAGTGTGGGAGGGGGATTTTGGGAGGGGAGGGGGAGTGTGGGAGGTGAGGCGGAGTGTGGGAGTGGAGGGGGAGAGTCAGAGGGGAGGAGTGTGGGAGAAGGAGTGAGGGAGGTGGAGTGTCAGAGGGGAGGGGGTGAGTGGGCAGAGGGCGAGTGTGGGGGGGGGGGAGGGGAATGTGGGAGGGGAGGGGGAGTGTGGGAGGGGAGGGGGGTTGTTGGAGGGGAGGGGACTGTGGGAGGGGGAGTGTGGGAGGGGAGCGGGAGTGTGAGAGGGGAGGGGACCTGTGGGAGGCGATTGTGAGTGTCAGAGGGGAGGGGGAGTGTGGGAGGGAGAGTGTGGGATGGGAGGGGGAGAGTGAGAGGGGAGCAGGAGTTTGAGAAGGGAAGGGGAGTGTGGGAGGGGAGGGGAGGGGGAGTGAGTGAGGAGAATGGAAGTGTGGGAGGGGAGGGTTTGAGGAGTGGGGGTAGCTGTGGGAGGGGAGTGTGGGAGTGGAGGGGGAGTGGTGGAGAGAGGAGGAGTGTAAGAGGGGGAGTGTGAGAAGGAGGGGGAGTGTGGGAGGGGAGGGGGAGTGCGGGAGGGGAGGGGGAGTGCGGGAGGGGAGGGGGAGTGCGGGAGGGGAAGGGGGTGTGTGGGAGGGGAGTGTGGGAAGTGAGGGGGACTGCGGGAGGGAGGGGGAGTGTGGGAGGGAGGGGGGAGTGTGGGAGGGGAGGGGGAGTGTGGGAGGGGAGGTGTTTGTGTGGGAGGGGGAGTTTGGGGCAAGGAGGAGTCTGGAGGGCAGAGAGAGGGTGGGAGGGGAAGGGGGAGTGTGGGAAGGGGAGTGTGGGAGGGGCAGTGTGGGAGGGGTGGGGGAGTGTGGGAGGGGGAGGGGGAGTGTGGGAGGGGAGGGGCAGTGTGGGAGGGGGGGAGTGTGGGAGGGGGGGAGTGTGGGAGGGGAGTGTGGGAGGGGAGTGTGCGAGGGGAGTGAGTGTGGGAGGGGAGTGTGGGGAGGGGGAGTGTGGGAGGGGAGTGTGGGAGGGAGTGTGGGAGGGGGGGGGGGGGGGAGGGGGGGAGTGTGAGGGGGAGTGTGGGAGGGGGAGTGTGGGAAGGGCAGTGTGGGAGGGTGGGGAGTGTGGGAGGGGAGGGGGAGTGTGAGGGGGAGTGTGGGAGTGGGAGTGTGGGAGGGGTGGGGGAGTGTGGGAGGGGCAGTGTGGGAGGGGGAGTGTGGGAGGGGAGGGGGAGTGTGAGGGGGAGTGTGGGAGGGGGAGTGTGGGAAGGGCAGTGTGGGAGGGGTGGGGGAGTGTGGGAGGGGAGGGGGAGTGTGGGAGGGGCTGATTGGACTGATTTCCTGTTCTCTGATTATGTGCAACATCAACATTTTTCTGTTACTGTAATAATGTGAGTTCTGTTGCCCATCCAATTTCCTACAAGATTCCGTGTCTCTAAACCTGATTGCTGATGGATGGTGCAGATTACGAGCAGCCATTTGGTAATTTGGGTCTGTTTACACTGGAAAGGGGTCGGTTGAGAGGACATATGATTGCTGTATTTAAGATTCTAAAGAGAAGAGATAATGTACACCGTGACAAGCTGTTTCATCTTGTTCAGAACAGTTGGATTTGAGGACACGACCTCTTATCGAAGGGGGGCTATATCAAAACTAATCTGTGGGAACATTATTTCAGTGAGCGAGTGGTAAATTTATGGAACAGACTCCCTTGGGACACGATGAAAGCAGAAAGTGTTGATTCACTCAAATGGAAGTTAGATACATTTCTTTCAGAAAATAATATTTGGGGATACAGAACATGATTCATTTGAAACATGACATATGACAAGTGTTGCGATAAAGAGGTAACTTTGGACTTTGCTAAGAGAATCTTAATGATGAGCACGTAAGGCTGACTTATTCCATGATCTGAAGCTGAAACTGCTGTACAGGCAGTCTGGTGGCATCTTTGCTCCCCAAGTCATCCATGCTTTACCCGAACATAGAGTGTTCAAACCTGACGAGTGTTTGCAAAGTGGAAATAGATCTCAGCACTGATTTTTTAAAATATTTTTATATATATTATAGATTTAAATATATAAAAATACACATTAGTACCTGATCTTTGAGGTTTGTCAGAAGGATGATAGCATTCAGTGGAAGATGGTTGGACCACAATTTGATGAATAAAAAGTTCAATAAATAACAGATACATTTTTGTTTTTTGCTTTTACCTCATAATATTCCATTGGGCCAACGAAACCATGACATCTTCCAAATATGCTGGTCTTATTCAACAATATATAGCAGTGCTGCTGTGCATAAGCCGCTATTAAATAGAAATCAAGAGCACAGGTTGTTATTTGAAGATTATTACATGTCTGTTCAGATGCTATTGGGGTTTCCTTCAGGGAAGACAAACATTATTTTTAAGGTGATTTTTTTTTGTTGCTCATTAAGATGAGAGATATCCATGTTTGCAAACAAAATCAATTATTGGACCCTAGGTTCAGCGGTCAGCTCACAGATGAGTGACTCCCTATACACTGTCCATCCACACTCCCAGGTCAGGGTTAGAGACACAGTAAAGCTCCCTCTACACTGTCCGTCCACCCTCCAGGTCAAGGTTAGACACAGTAAAGCTCCCTCTACACGGTAGGTCTGTCCACACTCCCAGGTCAGGGTTAGAGACACAGTAAAGCTCCTCTACACTGTCCATCCACACTCCCAGGTCAGGGTTAGAGACACAGTAAAACTCCCTCTACACTGTCCATCCACATTTCCAGGTCAGGGTTAGAGACACAGTAAAGCTCCCTCTACACTGTGCGCCCACACTCCCAGGTCAGGCTTAGAAACACAGTAAAGCTCCCTCTACACTGTGCGCCCACACTCCCAGGTCAGGGTTAGAGACACAGTAAAGCTCCCTCTACACTGTGTGTCCACACTCCCAGGTCAGGGTTAGAGACACAGTAAAGCTCCTCTACACAACCCATCCACACTCCCAGGTCAGAGTTAGATACAGTAAAGCTCCCTCTACACTCTCCGTATGTACTCCCAGGTCAGCAACAGCACGGGTAGAGGCAGATTAAAACTATCTTTTTTTCTTAGCTATCAAAAAGCTTTTACTATCTCAGCAAAGCATACACTGCACCAATTATATTTTCCAACTCATCAACACTGACAGCTTTGTACTAATTGCTAAATTACAGATAATTTTGAGCTACAAACATTTTTTTTTAGCATGGATAAAAATTCTTTGACACAAACTCCGTGCAGCTGCCAGAGAGACCTATCAGTCTGAAACATGAAAAGACAAGGTTCTGACTTACAAGATCAATCAACCGACCAATTCTCCTATCAAACGGATAGTAACAGAAAGCATTTGCTGAGACTTTCCACTCACATTTGAAATGACTTAATGAGCATGGGTCTATAGTTTGTTCAGTCGCAGATGCACAGTGTCCACCCACTTGCCACGAGTTCACAAATATAGCCGAAGTTCCTTCTGAGATTTCCATACAGCTCCTAAAATCGTCCTCAGCATCTCCATTGAAATTGCCACACAGTCCTGAAGGGGAATTAATAATAATAATAATCCTAGCACTTGATATAGCACTTTATCACACCGCTGAGACTCAGTCTCAAAGTGCTTCACAGAATATACTGTAAAGTGAATCGACTGTATATTTTGTGGGCAAAACCCAGCAGCCAATTGCTCAGTTAACTACATAACATGTAGTTAAGGATTCTCTGTGGAGTAAGTTTTACATATTTCTCCTCTGTGTTTACCACAACATCATAATAATAAACCCTCTCTGTACAATATCTTTACTAATTCTGCTGTGTACAGTAACATAAAGCAACAAAAAAAACTCACCATCTGCAGTGCCAAAAAAGGTGATCTGTACAGTAATGTACAGCTGAAGAATCGGATGAACCAGGATCTCCATCTTCAGGCCAAACTGGGTGCTCATCTGAACATATTTTGCTGACTTCCTGTGAATCCTGATGTCCCCTGAAAGAAAACCCGAGGTTTGGAACCCTAAATGAAGAACGGCGACCATAGGTTTCGCAGTGACGGCGATTATATTAATTAAACATGCGGTAGTGTAGTTGTGCTGCTCTGCACTATTTATCCCTAATTAATTTAGTGAGGAGGTGTGTGTCAAGGGGGTTGAGGCGCAACAGGGAGTTGCCTCATGGTGACACTGTTGGAGCTCGGGCCATTGCTGGCCACAGCTGCAGTGGGTTACACTTGATGCATGATGTTATTTATAATTTAAATAAAAGACTGAGAAAGAACATTTTACACATTAATCCTCCTCTAACCGGAATCTAACAACTACTCAGAACATGGTCAACAAGCACAATGATCAAATGTTTTATAAAAATAATTCAGTCTTTGAAATGACATGCAATGCCATGAAGAGTTGAGGCAATGACATGCAATGCCATGAGGAGTTGAGGCAATGACATGCAATGCCATGAGGAGTTGAGGCAATGCCATGCAATGCCATGAGGAGTTGAGGTGATGGGGTTGCTGGAAGTCCACTCTTAGAGACAGTTTGCTAAGCAATCATTTCTACTGCCTCCAGGTTCTGTTTAATCTCTTTACCTGTCACGTAGGGTAAACCCCGGAACTTATTATCCACATAGACCAGGCCTCCTTTTAGGAATGTGATCTTCACCTGCGAAAATAATACAAGGGCTGAGGAAAGAGATCTAAGCATCCACACTTATCAGGTCAGCACCAGGGCAGCTTTAAAACTGGTTAGCAGAAATCTTCAAGCAGTTTACAGACAACTTAAGTCAGACTATAATTTCCAGGTTTCTGTCACTTTGTAACAACAGAATAACATTTGCTGTCCTCCAGAAGCTCACTAATATCCCCTCAGATTTCCATTATAATTCTAAGGCTTTACTGCTGGCCTAAGTGTGATGTTTTGCAGTTTTATTTGCGTAGAGGTGATAAATCGCTGTGCTTGAGGCTCACTATAAACTTTTTGTGACTCTATCACTTGTGACTTCTCCAGTCACCTTCACCATGAATATACACATTTGCTCAAGTTGAACTAATAATAAAATTGGTCTTTTAAACTTTTAAGGGCATATAAAAGATTAAAGGCAAATCGTGTCCAACAAACTGATAAGAGTTTTTTGACGAAGTAACAGAGAGGGGTGGATGAAGGTAGTGCAGTTGATGTAGTTTATATGGATTTTCAAAAGGCATTTGATAAAATGCCACATAAGAGACTTGTAAGAAAAATAGAAACCTACAGTATTAAAGGGACAGTGGCGGCGGATACAGAACTGGCTGGGACAGAAAGCAGAGAGAGTGGTGGTGAATGCTTGTTTTTCTGACTGGAGGGAGGTGTGCAGTGGTGTCCCTCAGGGGGTCAGTATTGGGACGACTGCTGTTTTTGATTTATTTAAATGGCCTGGACTTGGGTATAGAGAGTACAATTACCAAGTCTTCAGATGATATTAAGCTATTAAGCTTGAACGGTTGGAGAGCATCTGGTCAACAGTGATCACAACATCATTAGGTTTAGAGTACTTATGGAAAGGGACAAGGAGCAATCAAAGGTGAAGATACTCAACTGGAAGAGTGCTGATTTCAGTGAGTTAAAAAGGGACCTCGCCAAGGTGGACTGGAAAGAAAGATTGGCAGGTAAAACAGCTAACGAGCAATGGGAAGCCTTCAAGGAGGAGATAGTTCGGGGACAGAACAAATACATTCCCACAAAGGGGAAAGGTAGGGCATCCAAACCTCCCTGGATGAATAAGGAAATTTGGGATTCAAATCAAACAGAACAAGAAACCTTATGATAAATGTCAGGTTCAAAATACAGAAGATAATCAAATAGAATAATAATAATATAATAATAATAATAATCCTTGCATTTGATATAGCACTTTTCACGTCTTCTCAATGTCTCAAAGTGCTTCACAGAACACACTGTAAAGTGAATTGACTGTATATTTGTGGGCGAACGCGACAGCCAATTGCGCACAGCAATGTCCCACAAACAGTCGTGGATTGAAAATGACCAATTTATTTTTGTTTTGTTGGAGGGATTATTATTAGGCTCTGTATGGAGTAAGGACACTTGCCCAAGGTTTTGCCCTGTCTGGAATTGAACTCAGGTCTCTCGCTTGCAAAGCGAGTGCTCCAACCACTGAGCTACAGGACTCTACATAGAAAGTACAGAAGAGAACTAGAAAAGGAAATAAGACGGGCAAAGAGATTGTACGAGAAAAGATTAACGAGTAACATAAAAGGGTATTTTAAGATATTTTATAAGCATATAAAGAATAAAAGGTTAGTCAAAGGTAGGGTGGGGTGTATTAGGGAGCAAAGAGGAAATCTTCTTGTGGAGGCAGAGGGCATGGCTGATGTACTGAATGAGGACTTTGCATCTATCTTCACAAAAGAAGAGGATGCAGCTAATGCCACAGTATCAGAGGAGAGGGGAGAGAAATTGGATAAGAATAAACCGAAAGGAGGTACTAAAAAGGTTGTCGGTGCTCAAGGTAGATAAGTCACCTGGTGTGGACAGGATGCATTCTAGGTTACCGAGGGAAGTAAGGGTGTAAAAACGGAGGCTCTGGCCACAATCTTTCAATCCTCCTTGGACATCAGAGGATTGCAAATGTTATTACCCTGTACAAAAAGGGGCAGAAGGATAAACCTGGGAACTACAGGCCAATCAGCCTAACGTCAGCAGAGAGACTATAATCTGGGACAAAATAAATTTTCACTTCAAAAATATGGGTTAATAAAGGACAGTCAACACAGATTTGTTAAAGGCAGATCATGTCTAGCAAACTTGATAGGAGTTTTTTGATGAAGTAACGGAGAGGGTGGATGAAGGTCATGCAGCTTATGTAGTTTATATAGGTTTTCAAAAGCCATTTGGTAAAGTACCACATATTAAACTTGTTAGCAAAATAGATGCCCACGGTATTAAAGGGACAGTGGCAGCGGATACAGAACTAGCTGGGACAGAAAGCAGAGAATAGTGGTGAACGGTTGTTTTTCTGACTGGAGGGAGGTGTGTAGTGGTGTCCCCAGGGATCAGTATTGGGACCACTGCTGTTTTTTGATCTGTATAAATGACCAGGACTTGGGTTTAGGGAGTACAATTTCCAAGTTTGCAGATGATACTAAGTTAGGAAACGTAGTAAACAATGAGGAGGATAGTACCAGACTGCAAATGTACATAGGATTGCAACTGGTAAAATGGGCAGACAGGTGGCAGATGAAGTTTAACGTGGAGAAATACGAAGTGATCCATTTTTTGCGAAGATTTTGATAGGGTAGACATAGGGAAGATGTTTCACCTTATTGGGGAGACCAAAACCAGGGGCCATTAATATAAAATAGCCACAAATAGAACAAATAGGGAAGCTAGAAAACATTTTTTCACATGGAGTAGTGGGAATGTGGAACACGCTACCACAAGGAATTGTGGAGGCAAATAAGATGTATTTAAGGGAAAGCTAGCTAGGTACATGAGGGAGAAAGGAATAGAAGGTTATGCTTGAAGGCTTAGTTGAGGAAGGGCAGGAGGAGGCTCATGTGGAACATAAATAATAATAATAATAATAATCCTTGCATTTGATATAGCGCTTTTCACGTCGGGAGGACGTCCCAAAGCGCTTCACAGAATATACTGTAAAGTGAATTGACTGTATATTTGTGGGCGAACGCGGCAGCCAATTGCGCACAGCAATGTCCCACAAACAGTCGTAGATTGAAAATGACCAATTTATTATTGTTTTGGGTTTTGGAGGGATTATTATTAGGCTCTGTGTGGAGTAAGGAAACTTGCCCAAGGTTTCGCCCTCTGCCTGGAAATGAACTCAGGTCTCTCGCTTGCAAAGCGAGTGCTCTAACCACTGAGCTACAGGACTCCACGCTGGCATAGACCAGTTGGGCCGAATGGCCTGTTTCTGTGCTGTATATTCTAATGTATTCTATGTATTTTGGGAGGAAGAATGAGGAGAGGCAATATAAGCTGATGGTACAATCTTAAGCGGAGTGAAGGAACAGAGAGCCCAGGTGCTTCATATAAGTATATCTTTGAAGATGGCAGGACACATAGATAAAGCTGTTTAAATAAAAACACACAGAATACTAGCCTTTATAAATAGGAGCATAGAATACAAAAGTCAGAAAGTTATAATAAACCTTTATGAAACACTGGTTAGGCCTCAGCCAGAGACTGTGTTCAGTTCTGGGCCCCACACTTTAGGAAGGATGTCAAGGCATTGGAGAGGGTGCAGAGGAGATTTCCCAGGATGGTACCAGGAATGAGGGACTTCAGTTATCAGGAGAGGCTCGAGAAGCTGGGATTATTCTCCTTGGAGCAGAGAAGGTTAAGAGGCGACTTAATAGAAGTTTTCAAAATTATGAGGGGATTCGACAGGGTGAACAAGGAGAAACTATTCCCACTGGCGGGTGGGATTGATTTGGAAGCTCTCTTCAAAGAGCTGGCACAGACACGATGGGCCAAATGGCCTCCTTCTGTGCTGTATAATTCTATGATTCTGTGATTCTATATTCAGTGTCACTGCCATGTCACACACTGTTGTTAAACAGATGGATTTCTGGGTCCTTTCCCAAGTGAGCGCAGCATCAGCCCTTAGGTTGACATCACAAGCAGTAAAATTCTTTGGACAGTGCAAAGATCTTAACATTAGTGTGTAGATAAGCATCTCATTCCCCTGTTAATGTCTCAATAGTTTTGGCAGTAAATGCTCACCTTGTTATTAGTGTACACTATGGCTTTTACACAAATCTCTGTTGGCTTCACACCACACCGTGCAAAAACTCCCTCTATGTGGCCATGTTCAGGCAACATTGAACTCTGAGGGAACGAAGAGTCACAATGTATTAATGTTAATAATAATAATAATCCTTGCACTTGATATAGCACATTTCAGGTCTTCTAGACATCTCAGAGCGCTTCACAGAATATACTGTAAAATGAATTGACTGTATATTTGTGGGCGAAAAGCGGCAGCCAATTGCGCACAGCAGCGTCCCACAAACAGTCGTGGATTGAAAATGACCAATTTATTATTATTGTTTTGTTTTGGAGGGATTATTCATCAGGTGTGTGGAGTAAGGAAACTTGCCCAAGGTTTCGCCCTGCTTGGAAATGAACCCAGGTGTCTCACTTGCAGAGTGAGTGCTCTAACCATTGAGCTACAGGACTCCAATTAAATGAATTAATGAATTAAACTCATAAATAGGGATTTCTCCTCACCCTATATGGATCCTCTCACATCTTGTCCTTTACTCATCACATAATTGGGGTACGAAATGTTCCAGGCCTTAATCTTGTGCCTTATGTGAAACATGTCAAAGAGCTTCTCTCAATTTTCTATTTTCAGGTGAAAGAAGCAGTCAATTTGCACACAACGATGTCTTAGAAACAGCCAGGAGGTGAATTAGTTTTTTTTAATCTGGGGGAATTGCCGTTCAGGAAAGCAGCTTTCTCTTTTCAAGTAGTGCAATGGCATTGTTATCACCTTACTGAACAGGCAAACAGGACCTTGGTTTAACATCTCATCCGAAGGATGTCACCTCCGACAATGCAACAACAAAATTACATTTGTAGAGCACTTTTCAAGTTGTGAGGACGTCCCAAGGTGCTGGACAGTGAGTGTTTCGGACCCCAGCTGGGGGTCGGGATCGGGGAAGGTAGAGGGCAGGTAGGGAAGGAGGTGATCGAAGGCACGGTCAAAGAAGAGGGTCTTGAGGCAGGTCTTGATGGAAGCAAGGGAGGGGGTGAGGCGGAGGGACTGCGGGATGGGGTTCCAGAGGGTGGGTGCAGAGTAGCTGAAGGCCCGCCAATGATGGAGCTGGTGAGGTGGTGGACGTGAAGCAGGCCGGAGCCCGCTGAGCGGAGGGAGCGGACAGATTGGTAGGGGGTTAGGAGGTTGCAGAGGTAGGGGGGAGCAAGATCATACAGAGCTTTGAAGGTGAGGACCAGGATCTTGAACTGTATCCTCTGTTTGATGGGAAGCCAGAGTCAGGCAAGGATGGGAGTGATAGGGTCATGGAGCCTGGTGCAGGAAAGGACATAGCCTGCAGAGTTCTGGATGACCTTGGGGAGACTGACAAGGAGTTGGGGAGGCCGACAATCAGGGAGTTGGCGTAGTTGAGCCTGAATGTTATGAATGCGTGGATGAGGGCAATCCATAACAGCACTGATTGTCATGTTCAGACTCGAGGTAGGGCTTGAATCTATAACCAGCTATCTCAGAGGCGAGAGCTCTATCAACTTGAGCAAGGCTGACACCTAACTTATTTAAAGATTTACTTAGAAAGCACTTTTTATACCCGAGTGTATTACACTTTTTTCAGTGAGGAAACTATGGCCCAAAAGTGAGTCATGCCAGAGTCTGGCTGCTCCATGCATAGCTGGTTACCTTTTGACCTGAACATAGCAGGATTATATATTTCAGGCATTTTCCTTGCATAGCATAACAAGGAAAATACCATTGCATGACCAAATATTCCAAGAAATCCCAGTCAGTTAGATTACAAAGACTTACTTTGACCAGCACATAGGTACAAGCTCCATATAGTCTGTATGATCTTGAATCAAATGTGGTGAAGAATGAGCCTCCTTCAACAGAACATGTCCCTGGACACGAAAGATTAGTGCAGTTCCATTGGCCCATAGAACATACGCTGTACAAACAACAAAAGCATTCACTGCACAACATTAACAGCAGACGAGTAGTGGTTCTCGGCATAATGCTCCAGTTTGCAGTGACTAGCAATGAGATCAAATCATTAGGGACTTTGGATAAAGCAATGAGTTTTGGTTTGGGTCTTGTGGTGGTACATTAGCATGAATAAGACTCAACAAGATGGAATTCGCTGATCTAATCTACCCCCAGCAATTACCATTCTGTGACTGAGGTTCTGGCTAATTTTCGCAACTCCCTGCTTGTTTATAGGGTGGTGGTATGAGAAGTTGTGTCACAGTCACCCTGGTTACCTTAAACTCTAATTCTCTCCTTCTCTCACCTGTAGCCTCATCCTGTTGACATTCCTGGGCTGGCAACTCATAACAACGATTGCAAAGCCTCTCTGCAAAGTCCCAGCTGCTCCCCACCCACAATACAACACAAAATTATATTTGTAAAGTGTCTTTCATGTCCCAAGGCACTGAACATTCAGGGTGGGGGTGGTTGGGGGGGTTTCGGGTCAGGAAGGATGGAGGGCAGAGAGGGTAGTCGAAGGGGCATTCGAAGAGGAATGCCTCAAAGGAGGCAAGGGAGGGAATGAGGCAAAGGGAATGTGGGATGGAGTTCCAAAGATTGAGAGCAGAGACGCTGACCAATAGTGTGGTGGGCCGGGCCGGAGCAGGCCGGAGCTTGCTTAGCAGAGGGAGCGACAGGGTGATAAGGGGTTAGCAGGTCGGAGGTAGGAGGGGGCAAGGCCGTGGAGAGCCTTGAAGGTGAGGATGAGGATTTTCAGCTTGATCCTCTGAGGGACGGGGAGCCAGTGGCCGGGCGAGGGTGAGTGTGGTGGGGTCACGGAGCCTGGTGTGCGATAGGACATGAGCTGCAGAGTCCTGGATGATCTACAGCTTGTGGATTGAAGAGTTTGGAAGGCCAATAAGCAGTGAGTTGGCATAGTTGAGCCTAGAATTAATGAGGGTTTAAGCGGCCTGTGGGGTGAGACAGTGGCAGCATCGGGCGATGTTGCGGAGGTGGGGGAAGACAGAAGGGGTCGTGGCAGATGTGGGGGAAAAAGCACAGTTGAGGGTTGAACAAGACACTTAGGTTCCTGACTGGCTTGATGAGGTGGAGTGTGCATCCGTGGATGCTGATGCTGCCAGTGCCTGAGGTGCAGAGGCGCTGGCACAAACCAATCAAGGGCGCCTCAGTCTTGCTGACGTTCAACTGCAGAAAGTTGGTTCTCATGCAGAACTTGACGGAGCACACCTAGCCAGTATTTCCCTCCAGTAGTGCTTCTTTTATAAACTTTCCTTAAAACAGTGTTGCTCTGGTTTCAAATTGTAGCTCCGTAAGACTACTTCTGACCATCACTCAGCTGGTAAATGTGCTCACTTATTTCGAGCCACAGGAAATAGAATTCGCAATCTTAATAACTAACTGATAGAGTAAAACCTAATTGTCTCCATGTGCTATCTACACTAACTGACTGGCTACTCTTTGCATCAAATGAAATGTCCTTTGATAAGACTGTGCAGTATATGATCGAAAGCTTCACCATCCTGCACTTGAGTGTGTGAACTACTTTTTTGCTAATTAACAATGTTTTGAGACATTGTTTGGCTCTTTCTGGATATCTTTGAGCGGGAAGTTCTCAGGTACCAGGCTACCATTTTATAGAAGTTGTATGCCAATTTCACTTCAAGGCACTTCTTCTAAGACATTACCCTTGTGGGAAAAGTTATAGTTCTTTATCTCAACAAACCATCTAAGGCCAAGGCTACTTTTAAACACCAGTAGACATTTTGTTTACCAAGTTCTACACAGCCCGTTCCTTCTTTCTCCAGGATGGTATATTTCCTCATTCCAAATACAGGGACACTGCTCTAAGGGTACACATAAGTCCTCTTTGGAGATATCATCAAGAACAGTCCCTGTGGCAAATGAAAACAGTGCTTTAGATTAAACATGCTAATGTTATTGAGATACGTAAGAACATAAGAATTGCTAGACGAAAGAATAAACAAAAGGAACCTCAATTTAACATTTCATCCGAATGACGGCATCTCCAGCAAAACAGGGCTTCCCTAGCCCTACATTGGTGCATCAGCCCAGACTGTGAAATCAAAGACCCAATATGTTATTGAACCCCAATCTTCTGACCCAGATATGAGAGAGGTATTAAATGAACCAAGCTGACACCTGACCATTGAGATTTAATGACAAAAACAAAATTTTTTCCAAAATTCTAACTTTTAAGACCCACCCCTCACTAAGTGTCTAATCTCATGTCATTTCAAAGTATATTGAGTATTGTCCAGTCCTTCACACAGTTAACTGTTCCTGGATGTTTCTAAGGTTGAATTGTTAACTTACCTTCTGGGCAGAAACAGCCATAGGTGCCATGACTATCACAGGTGGTGCGTAAATTGGAACAAGTGGCATAACAAGGTGAGCCACATTCCAAGTATATTTGATTTGTTGGACATTTAGCTGGAGCTAAAAAAACAGATTATGTTAAATTCTTATCAGATAAAAGTATATCCAGCTCAATTAACAAAGCAGAAAGTTAGAACACAATTCAAACCCATAGTAACTGAGCATAAAATCCTGAAATAGTATCATCAACCTGAACGATCAGAACAGACAGGCGGGACTGCACTTTACCATCTAATTAACAAATGGACCTTCCAGCAATGCAGCACTCCCTAAGTATCGCACTGGAATGTCATCCTGGGTTGGTACCACACACATTCCGATATGGACTGGAACCCTCGACCTTCTGTCCTAGCTCGGCCTGTCTCAACAACAATTTGCATTTATATAGCAGCTTTCACATAGAGTAGCGTCTTGGAGTGCTTCACAGTGGCAAGGATAGATGGCAAGCAGGAGGAGGGGAGAGGGGGGAGGGAGAGGCAACTGTAGATATGGATAAAGTGGTAGGTTTTAAGGCAAGACTTGAAAGAAAGGAGGTGAAATGTAGGGGTTGGTGGAGGGTGGTCCAAAGGTTAGGAGGGTATCAGAAAGCCCAGCCACCTGCCTAAGAGTCTTCTAATCTCCTAACCTGGCGAGGAGTTAAGCAGCTGTGCAACAGTATGTATCCCTGTAGATAGATTACTTACAACAGAGATCGTTCCTTCTCCAGTTGTAGATGGTCTGCAGCATTCTGGAACACTCCCTCGCATATTCTGACATTGTGTCGCAGGCACAGTTTTTGTCATATTTCTTGGGACATTTGCAGAGGTCTTGTTGACAACGTTCAATGTAACTAAATTTTTCCACTTTGCATTCTGGTGCGACTAGATGCAACAATGCTGTGCAGAAAGCCACCTTTAAAAAGAATTAGCAGGTTCAACTGTCCATGATCTTTATAGCCTTTTGTTCAAAGTAACTGCGTGCTTTGATTAAACCATATGGCAAAAAGGTAAAAATACAGTGAAACATTACTCTAGCATAAATACCGTGTTGTGCTTTGCAAGCTCAAGCAGTCTGTGTCACAGGTGATTCACAGCCAGACGCTGTCTGGTGTCTGGATCAGTCAATTTGGTTGTTCACTTCTGTTGGAAGATGTTCCTGCTTTTTGAGCCCAGACATTTCAATTGCTGTTCAAGATACATCCTAAAGTTTGTATGAGGAATACCACTGAAGAATTCACGACGAACTAAGTGACCTGAACCTTTAGTAGACCATTAAGACTTCAGTGGAATCTACCTACCTGCCAAGGTTGATGAAGTTTCACTCAATCACTCAAACATGTAGGTTAGAGCGGAGGGCAAAACAACAAGAAAAAGAAATCCGTAGATTACAGATCACACGGTGCTGCGGAGATCGGCGAAGATTTAGCCCGTGCTGGATACCACCTGTGCCTCAAATGCATCAATGCTTCCTTGTTGTTGGTTACATGTGGCAGCCTTGATGAAGCTCTCACCCCTTGCTTTCTCCCAGTGTTACCAATCCTAGCTGGTGTCCCAGTCAGGCCAAGCACTTCCTCACTGCACAGTGAATGATTCCTGGTTCAAATATTTTTTTCAAAATTGGACAGCGAAATAAACAAATTTAATTAAGATTAGAGTCAATGGTTTAATGTGTTCAAGCAGGTGTGAGAATATATCTCACCGGATTTGGACTTTTTCTTCTGACCCAATCAGTTTCATTCAGTGGGGACATAATTTTAGTCAAAAGCAAGCAAGACTCAGCAGGTCTGGGAAGCCTGTTAGGGCACAAGCACTCACATAGTTTGGAGAGGATTCCTGCACACTGTTGTTGCACTTGTGTATGCACGTTTCCAAAGGATCATCTAAATTCCATAGACAAGCATAGTGGAATGGATCAATCCTCAACCCTAGACAAAGACCAGAAATGTTGTTAGATTGGAAACTAGTCACTCTCCCATTGCTGAAGCACACTCAGCCATTCTTGTTTAGACTATCTACACCTGTCATGAACAGCTGGCAGTAGCCTCAAATGTTTCAGGAACTCATCAGGGATTGAAATTCCACCTCCTCACAGGATCCATGAATGCCATAATAGAACTTTTTCTCTAAGCCTCTTGGTTTTCTCCTCTATCAACTTTCCTGAGCACTGACCAGCAATACAATAGAGAAGGCTGCGAGGTTTCTACCATTCTCCCATTCCAGGACCGCAGAATGCCTGTCAGACATCAAATCCTGGACGAGAGCTAATTTCCTCCAGTTGAATGTCGACAAGAATGAGACCCTCCTGCTTGGCTCTTTCATAACATCCAGGTCTGACTTGCTTGCTGATCTTCCCAACTCTTCCCTCCACAAGCTGCAGATTATTTAGAACAGCAAATTACATTTCTATAGCTCCTTTCACATTGGGAGGAAGTCCCAAGTAACTGGACAGTTAAGATTCGGACCTGAGCAGTGGGTTGGGATCAGGACAGGTGGAGGGCAGGGAGAGCTTTATAGATCTTGTCCTCTCCCGCATTAAGCTCCGTGAGCCAAATACCCCCATCCTCGTCCAACTTCAATGGCTTTCCATCCTCCCAAATCAAATTTTAAATCCTTGTCTTCAACTTTAGAGTCCACCGTGGTCTTGCTCTGACCTACCTCCATGCTCTCCCCATTACACCAGTCCTCGCCGGCTCCACTGGCTCCCAATTATCGATGAGATCGATTTCAAGACCCTCTCGCTCGTTTTCAAATCCCCTCATGCCCTCGCACCTCCCTAACTATCTGATTTGCTTACCCCCCACTCAACCACCAGCTGACTCCTCAGCTGTCTCCAGCCTCTTGTTTGTCCCTCATCCCCTCCACTCCACCATCAGTGGCCGTGGCTTCAGCCTCTATGCCGCAAAACTCTGGAACCCTCTCCCTCAATCCCTCTGCCTTTCCCCATTCCTGCCCACTTTCAAATCCCACCTTAAGACCTTCCTTTCTGATTGTGCTTATGGCCACCACCCCGTTCCTTCTCCACCTGCCTTGGCATCAGACTCTGCCACTGTCAAGCATTCTGGGATGCTACTCCACATGAAGAGAGCTATATAAATGCAAGTTGTTTAAACCCTTCCAAACCTGTCTGCTCCCTCCGCTTGGTGGGCACTGGCCTGCTCCACATCTCCACCCAACCAACGGAAGTTGAGCCTTCAGTCTTTCTGCCCCCACTCTTTGGAACTCCAACCTAAAGTCCCTCCCCTTTGCCCTCTCCCTAGCCTCCTTCATGGCCTGTCTCAAGACCTTCCTATTGACCATGCCTTCAGTCATCTTCCCACCACCACCCTCCCTGCCACACTCCAACTCAGGAGCAAACCTTGACTGTTCAATGCCTTGGGAGGTGTTCCTGACGTGAAAGGCACTGTATAAATATAATTTGTTGTTCTATTCTTCAGCCATCCTGTAAGAAGCTGGACCCAGGGCGAACCTCCCTCCTGCAGCAGATGAAAAATGGCCTAGCAGGACTCAGCTCCTCCCATTTTCTCTCAGTGGAGGAACAACTGAGTTCAAGTGGAGGGCAGGTCAACTTCTTGCATCGTCTGCCCAGGCTCTGATGCCAAACAGGTGCATCAAAAGTTTGAAAAAGATCCTTTCACCAGTGGAACTTAGAGTAAACTCAATCATTTATTGGGCCCACATGTAAAAGTGCTCCCTTACCTTCCCAAATCAGCTCATTCAGCTCAGGAGAGCCATTGAAGTCGCCACATAGACCGCACGTTTGGTTTTTATATTTGTCTCCAAGCTCAACCTGGAAATGAAGAGGGAAAGAACTCAAGCAATTTGTTCTTTAAACATCTAGAAAAGAAAAGAAAAATTCCATTTAAGCTAACCATCCAAAGGGGTTTGGTTAGACTCAATATTATATCAAACCTCACTGAGTAGTCTGAAATACCCTGTAGAGATGCTTTCAGATCCCTGAACAAAATCAAGGTAAATCTCCAGACTGTTCATCCACTCCACACTTCAGTCCTACCCTCTGCCTTCCACAGACAATCCTCCCAGAAACTGTCAATGCATTGACATTTATAAACCTCATTGCTGCCTGCTCTGTCAGTAGATGTTGAAGCTCATATGGAGTCTAGCATGAGCACAGACTAGTGGGGCCAAATGGCCTCTTTCCATACTTAACTCTATGTGATTTGAGATGGCCTTATTTCTGATTATTTTGCATTGTCTGACATCTGGTGTGCCCTGCCAATAACAGTGGCCTTTGTGGGACCCACAGTACACTAGACTCAATCCCTCAGTGCTTACCTACATCACCGCCCAGGAAACAAAACCTAGCCCAGTGTGGCACAGAAATGAACAGAAAGTAGAGAAGGTAAGTAAAGGAAAAGAAACTTTAAAAAAGGGAGTCAATCTGAGAACCAATGAGTCCGGCAGAAAGTTGCAGAGCTACCCACCATCAGATAGTCATGGTTGTTCCAGAGAATGCTGATGTCAAGCGCCTGCTGCTTAGCAACCAGTTTGATAAGGTTTCCAAAAGGCTTAATGCTTATTCCATTGGAACAGTACGGCAATCGAACAATCCTAACAAACAGCAACCAGTGAGTTCAATGATATACCAACATAATGTTCATTCACCCTTGTTCTTCTGTACAACAAGCCATTACATGTAAGAAGGCTGACCAGAAGCACTGTCCAGCTATCACACTCAGCATTGCAACAACAACAAAATGACATGTGTATAGCGCCTTTCACATCGGGAGAACATCCCAAGGCGCTGGACAATCAATATTTCAGACTCGAGCTGGGAGTCCGGATCGGGGAGAGTGGAGAGCAGGAGGCGAAGTAGGGTGACCGAAGACACGGTCGAAGAGGAGTGTCTTGAAATGGTCTTGAAGGAGGCAAGGGAGGGAACGAGATGGAGGGACTGCGGGATGGAGTTGCCGCAATTGCACTGCATTGTGATAGACTGAAATACATATTTGCAAATAATAATAATTGTTGCATTTGATATAGACATTTCAGCGCACTTTACAAAATATACTGTATATTTTGTGGGTAAATGTAACATAATATAGAAACAATCTAGGAACAAATCAAAAATAACTTACCATCTGCTATTAACTTTAATTCTTCCCTTCTCAACTATGACTGAGGTACCGTACAGCTGAATTGTGATTCTTTCAATAATCCCAGAGCTTCCTCTGCGAAAATGAACCCTAAAATCTGGGAAGTTATCTGAACACTCACTAACAAAGACGTAGTTGCAAGTTTTGAAAAAGTCATACATGAAATTATCAAAGGTATGAAAATGCCCTTTACCCCATGTGGTGCAGACTGCCCTTGTAGGACCTGTGAAAGCAATATTTGATAAACTGGATTACAGATTCCTCTATACCGCTGTCTTTATCAGGAGAACATTTCCAAACCAAGACTAAAAAATCACATTTGCGAGTCTGAGCCAATCAATGTACAGGTCCCTTCATAAAATGGGTACAGTAGTTTGCAGCAGATGTGTGAGGAATTACTGAGCCTGACAATGCAAGGAAGTTGGAGTAACATTTGCAGAGATACATCACTGACACAGGGCGTAGCTAAGACACTCCTGATAATCCACCTTCAGTGCAATTTGGACTCAGTACCTCCAAGTCCTCTGCAAATGAAGAGATGGTCAGAATTATTGGAATAAATAAAAAAGATTTTAAATTTGACTTAGCCTTTGTTAAGCAACATGCAACAACAACAACAAGATTACATTTGTATAGCGCCTTTCATGTCGGGAGGACGTCCCAAGGGGCTTGACAGTGTACAGCATTTCATACCAGAGCTGGGGTCAGGGAGGGAGAAGGGAGGGGAGAGGAGGAGAAGAGGACCGATGGTATGGTCGAAGAGGAGGGTTTTGTGGCGGGATTTCAAGGACTCCAGCTAATAACCTGACCTGCCTTATTCCCATATCCCTTAATCCCTTTTGCAATAAGAAATCTATCTATCTCAGTCTTGAATATGTTTAAGGACTGAGCGTCAACAGCCCTTTGGGGTAGCGAGTTCCATACATTCACCGCCCTTTGAGTGAAGAACTTCTTTCTCAACTCAGTGCGAAAGGGCTGCCTCTGATTTTAAGGTTGTGACCCCTGGTTTTAGTTTCTCCAACCGGGGGACACAATCTCCCACTATCTACTCTGTCATGCCCTTTGATGATCTTATAGGTTTAATCCTTTCCTAATCCTTTCATAATGAATGCTAATATACCGTTCGCCTTCCTAATTGCTGCTGCACCTGCAGACTAACTTTCTGTGATTGGTGTACAGGGGCACCCAAGTCCCTCTGGACGCTAACACATTCCAATCTCTCCCCTTCTAAAAAAATAACCCGCTCTCCTGTTTTTGCTACCCAGGTGGATGACTTTGCACTTCCCTAAATTATACTTCATCGGCCACCTACCTGCCCAATCACCTAACCTATCTATGTCTCGCTGCATTTTTTTAATGTCGTCCTCTGTGTTGACACTTCCTCCTAGTTTTGTGTCATCCGTGAATTTAGATATATTAGCTTCGATGTCCTCATCTAAATCGTTGATGTAGATGGTAAATAGATGAGGCCCAAGGACTGATCCTTGTGGCACTCCACTGGTCACATCCCACCAATCTGAAAAGGACCCATTTATCCCTACTCTTTGTTTCCTACCCGTTAACCATTCCCCAATCCAAGTCAATATGCTCCCCCCAATTCCATGGGCCCTTATCTTTTGGACTAACCTTTTATGCGGCAGCTTATTGAATGCCTTCTGGAAGTCCAAATGGACCACATCAACAACAACGACAAGATTCCATTTATTGAGCGCCTTTCATGTCGGGAGGACGTCCCAAGGCGCTGTACAGTTGGGTCAGGACCCGAGCAGGGGGGAAATGGTCAGGGTGAGGGGAAGGGAGGGAGCGAGGAGGGGGGAAATGGTCAGGGTGAGGGAAGGGAGGGAGAGAGGAGGTGGGAGATGGTCAGGGTGAGGGGAGGGAAGGGAGGGAGTGAGGAAGGGGTAGAGAGTCGAGAGGGGAGCTGAAGGCACGGTCAAAGAGAAAGGTCTTGAGACCGGCCTTGAAGGAGGAAAGGGAGGAGGCAAGGCGAAGGCACTGGGGGATAGAGTTCCAGAACCTCGGGGCTGAGAGGCTGAAGGCCCGGCCACCGATGGTAGGGAGGTTGGGGCGGGGGATGTGGAGCAGACCGGAGCCAGAGGAACGGAGGGTACGGGCAGGTAGGTAGGGGGATAGTAGGTCGGAGAGGTAGGAGGGAGCAAGGCCGTGAATGGCCTTGTAGGTGAGGATGAGGATCTTGAACATCCACTACTGATTCACCCTTATCTAGTTTACTGGAAATATCCTCAAAAATCTCTATGAGATTCATCAAACATGACTTCCCTTTTGTAAAGCCATGTTGACTTACCCTGATTATATTGTGCCCTAAATACCGCACTACCATATCCTTAATCAATGATTCTATTTTGCCTTTTGTGCTGCAGTTCTGTTGCCCACTGTCATTCTTCGGTGAGGAGGAGACAGAAAACTAAACAGAGAATGTTTAAGACGCTGTTTGCTGGGAGTTTCCGTATCTCCAAGTACTCAACAACAATGACTTGCATTTATATAGCACCACTCACACAGGGTAGCGTCGCAGAGTGTTTGACAGTAAAAGGAGCACGACACCGGGCTGAGGGGAATGGGGAGGTGACCATAGGCACAGTCGAAGAGTTTTACGGTTTAAGTGTGTAAAGTTTTACTCACTGTAAAAGATATGCGGGAAGTATTTATTGGATTCCTTGATCTCCATAGGATACATCAAATTTCCTCCTGCTATCAACAAACAAATTTAGATAAGATGATAAAAATGTATGTTATCATTTTTATTATTCCATGCTGGGATGGAGGAAACTTGCAGCCATATCTTGCACAGCCCTGGGTCCACGTCAATACCATTTAGATTTACCACCGGTTTAAAAGAGGTTGTTGGTAAAGGTGTTTTTCTGCACTGGTGTCACTAATCTTTGCATTTGATATAGCGCCATTCAGAGCACGAAATACTGTAAAGTGTAATGGCTTTTACTCACTGTAAAAGATGTATTTGTAGACAAATCTGACAGCCAGTTTTCAGACCACAATGTCCCACAAACAGCCACAAATAGCCACGAAGTGAATGGCCAATTGTATTTGAGGGATTATTGGCAGGTCCTTGGGAGAAACTCCATTCTCTTTTTGAATAGTGCTGTGGGATCTTCAACGCCCACCCGAACAGGAAGGGAGGACTTTGGTTTAACGTCTCATCAGAAGGACATCACCTCTAACATTGCAGCACTCCCCCAGCACTGCAATGGAGTGTCAGGCTGCAATTGTGAGTTCAAGACCCAATTTAAGCTTGAACCACAACCTTCTGACACCTACTGCATGTCTGTCGGTATGTTGTAAACGGATGTGTGCTACAGACAGAGAGATGCTAGGCAGTGTAAAGAATGTAGAGAGAGAGAAATGCCGGGTGGTATTGCCTCCTAGTACAATTGACAAAAAACAAATGCTCCTTCCAGTTAGACAGTGAGGTTAATAATGAAAACATGTACCAAATCTGTGAAAATGGGATTGATCGAATGCAGAATATAAAGACAAAACATCCCTCATTTTCATTCAGTCAATTTTCAACCACTGTTTAATAGATGAAGCAGCTAGCTTTGGGAGCACTGGACAAACACTTGTGTAGGAAGTGCTGGCGGCTCGAGCTTGAGCTCAGGGTTTCCGAGCTAGAGGAGAGGCTGGTATCATTACATAGCATAAGGGAGGCTGAAGAGTTCATGGAACGTTTCTGGAGTTGGTCGCCCCATACCACAGAGGGTTCGAAGGGAGAATGAGTGGGTGACCACCCGGCATGGTAGGAAGAGGGGACGGGCAGCGTAGAAATCCCCTGAGAGTGTGGCGCTCACAAACCGGTTCTCTGTAATATCGGTCAGGGTGATGACACCTCTGGGGAGGGGAGTCAAACGCAAATGGTTCCACAGGGGGACGCAGGGAAAAGTGTCAATGCAATTGTTATTGGGCACACACTGGTGAAAGGAGTAGACAGGCGTTTCTGCAACCAAAGACGTGACTCTCATATGGTATGTTGCCTCCCTGGTGCCAGGATTGAAGACCTCACAGAACGGGTGCAAAACGTTCTACAGGGAGAAGAGGAACATCCAGAAGTCATGGTCCATGTTGAGATCCATGACGTAGGCAATAAAAGGGCTGAGGTCCTACAGGGAGAGTATCAGAAGCTAGGGAAAAAGCTAAACAGAGGACCTCAAAGGTGGTAATCTCTGGATTATTCCCAGTGCCTCGTGCAAGAGAGTATCAAAACAACAGGATCAAACACATGAATGCATGGCTGGAGAAATGTGCAGAAAGGAGGGCTTCAGGTTCCTGGAAATCTGAGACCACCTCTGGAGCAGATGGGACCTGTGCAAGGTGGATAAGTTACACCTGAACAGGGCTGGGACCAATGTCCTTGCAGGGAGGTTAACTAGTGCTGTAGGGAAGGGTTTAAACTAATTTTGGGATCAGTATGTAGGATTAGAGGACAAACAATTTAAGTAGGGAGATAGCAATGTAATAAGGAGTAATCCAGAAAAAGGAGGGACGGGGGGAGAAATGCAGAACAGACTACAACAACAACAAGATTGCATTTATAGAGCGCCATTCACGTCGGGAGGACTTCCCAAGGCGCTGGACAGTTGGGTCGGGACCCGAGTAGGGGAAAATGGTTAGGGTGAGGGGAGGGAACGAGAATGGGGTTAGAGAATCGAGAGAGGAGCTGAAGGCACGGTTGAAGAGAAAGGTCTTGGGACTGGCCTTGAAGGAGGAAACGGAGGAAGCAAGGTGAAGGCACTGGGGGATGGAGTTCTAGAGCCTAGGGGCTGAGAGGCTGAAGGCCCGGCCACCGATGGTAGGGTGGTTGGGGTGGGGGATGTGGAGCAGACCGGAGCCAGAGGAACAGAGGTTACAGGCAGATAAGTAAGGGGATAGTAGGTCGGAAAGGTAGGAGGGAGCAAGGCCATGAATGGCCTTGTAGGTGAGGATGAGGATCTTGTATTCGATCCTCTGGGGGATGGGGAGCCAGTGGAGGCGAGCGAGGGTGGGAGTGATGTGGTCGCGGTGTCTGGGGCGGGACAGTACACGAGCTGCAGAGTTCTGAATGACCTGCAGTGTGAAGGGAGGTGCCAGGAAGGCCGGCGAGGAGAGAGTTCCCATAGTCCAGCCTTGAGGTGATAAAGGCGTGGACCAGAGTTTCAGCAGCGTGAGGGGTGAGGTAATGCCGTAGTCTGGCGATGTTCCGGAGGTGATGGAAGGCGGTGCCAGTTGTGGTGCGGATATGAGGAAGGACAGCTCAGGGTTGAACAGAACCCCGAGGTTCCTGATGGCTTTGAGAGGTGGAGAGTGCAGCCTTGGATGCTGATGCTGTCAGCGCCTGAGGTGTGGAGGCGCTGACGCAAGTCAATCAGGAGGGCCTCAGTTTTGCCGACATTGAGCTGAATAAAGGTGTCTCTCGTCCAGGACTCGATGTCAAACAGGCAGCTGTCAGGACATCGGGGGTCGTGGAGTTGAGGGTAGAGGAGGAAAGGTAGAGTTGGGTGTCCATGTGGAAGTTAACCCCATGTCTGCGGATGATGTCACCACAGGGGGAGCATATAGAGGGTGAAGAGGAGATGACCGAGGACAGAGCCCTGAGGGACACCGCACAAGACAGTAAGGGGGCTGGAGGAAAAGCCGTTTGCAGAAACAAAATGAAGACGGTGGGAGAAGTAGGACCTAAATCAATCAAGGACAGGGCCTTGAAAGTTGAGGTGGGAGGACAAGCGGTGGAGGAGGATAGAGTGGTCGACCGTATCGAATGCGGCCGATAGGTCGAGGAGGACAAGGAGACAGAGGGAGCCCTGGTCGCAGATGGTCAAGATCTCATTGATGACCTTGACCAGGTCGGTTTCTGTACTATGGCAGCACCGAAACCCGACTGAAGGGGTTCGAAAAGTGAGTGGGTGGAGAGGAAAGAACCCAGCTGGGAGCCAACGACTCTTTCGAGAACCTTGGACAGGAAGGGGAGGTTGGAGGTGGGCCGGTAGCTTGATAGCTGTGACGCATCAAGGGAGGGTTTTTTTCAATGTGGGAGTGATGATGGTAGTTTTGAGGGGAATGGGAACAGATCGACTAAGTCGATCTTAGAGTGCATGTGTGTAAATGCACGGAGTGTGACAAATAATATTGGTGAGCTGCGGCTCAAGTTGCCACATGGGGTTATGATGTAGTGGCAATAACGGAGATCTGGGTCAAACAAGGGCAGGAATGGGAGCTGAATATTCCTGGTTACAATGTACTCAGGAGGGACAGGGAAGGGAAACAAGGAGGAGGGAGAGTGGCAATATTGATTAAAGACACAGTGTAGGGCCTGGAAAGGGACGATGTGCTGGAGGGTCCCAAAACAATCTTATTTGGTTAGAGTTAAGGAGCAGAAAAGGAGCTGTTACACTGTTAGGTGTATATTATAAACCAACAAATAGTGGGAAGGAGATAGTCAAGCAAATCTGCAAGCAGGTTTCAGAAAGATGCAAAACCAATACAGTATTGATAATGGGGGATTTCAATTATCCTAACATAGGTGGCAAAATAACAGCATAAAGGGCAAAGAGGGGGAAGGATTCCTGAAATGTGTGCAAGATAACTTTCTGGATGAATAGGTTTCCAGCCTTACGAGGAAGGAAGCAGTGCTATATCTAGTTCTGGGGAATTGAGTGGGGCAAGTGGAGCAGGTTTCAATGGGAAAATATCTGGCAATAGTGAACACATCATTAGGTTTACAGCACTTATGGAAAGGGACAAAGAACAATCAAAGCTGAAGGTACTCAACTGGAAGGGGGGTAATTTCATTGAGTTAAAAAGGGAGGAATTCCAAGGTGGAATGAAAAGAAAGAATGGTAGGTGAAACAGCCAACGAGCAATGAGAAGCCTTCAAGGAGGAAATAGTTTGGGGACAGAACAATACATTCCCACAAAGGGGAAAGGTAGGGCATCCAAACCTCCCTGGATGAATAAGGAAATTGGGATTAAAATAAAACAGAAAAAGGAGGTTTATGATAAATGTCATGTCCAAAATACAGAAGATAATCAACTAGAATATAAAAAGTACAGAGGAGAACTGTAAAAGGAAATAAGAAGGGCAAAGAGATTGTATAAGAAAAGATTTAGCAGGTAACATAAAAAGGTATTTTATAAGCCTATAATAATAAAAGGTTAATCAACTGTAGGATTGGGTCCAAATAGGGACCAAAGAGGAAATCTTGTGGAGGCAGAGTACTGAATGAGTACTTTGCATTTGTTCTTCATAAAAGAAGAGGATGCAGCCAATGCCACAGTATCGGAGAAGAGGGGAGAGAAATTGGATCAGATAAGAATAAACCGAGGTACTAAAAAGGTTGTCGGTGCTCAAGGTAGATAAGTCACGGTCCGGACGGGATGCATCCTAGGTTATTGAGGGAAGCAAGTGTGGAAATAACGACGGCTCTGGCCACCATCTTTTAATCCTCCTTGGACACCGGGTGGTACCAGAGGATTGGAGGGTTCCAAATGTTACAAAAAGGGGCAGAAGGATAAATCCAGGAATTACAGGCCAGTCAGCCTAACGTCAAGAGTGGGGAAAGTTCTGGAGACTACAATCCGGGACAAAATACATTTTCACTTGGAAAAATATGGGTTAATAAAGGACAGCCAACATGGATTTGTTAAAGGCAAATCATGTCTAATAAACCTGAAGTAATGGTGAGGGTGGATGAAGGATGAATGTAGTGCAGTTGATGTAGTTTATATGGATTTTCAAAAGGTGTTTGATAAAGTGCCACAAAAAAGACTTGTAAGCAAAATAGAAGCCACGGTATTAAAGGAACAGTGGCAGCGGATACAGAACTGGCTGGGAGATAGAAAGCAGAGAGTGATGGTGAACGGTTGTTTTTCTGACTGGAGGGACGTGTGCAGTGGTGTCCCCCAGGGATCAGTATTGGGACCACTGCTGTTTCTGATCTATATAAATGACCTGAACTTGGGTTTAGGGAGTACAATTTCCAAGTTTGCAGATGATACTAAGCTAGGAAAAGTAGTAACCAGTGAGGACGATGGTAGCAGATTGCAAATGGACATAGACAGATTGGTAACATGGGCAGACGCGGGGCAGGTGAAGTTTAATGTGGAGAAATGCAAAGCGATGGATTTCAGGAGTAAGAATGAGGAGAGGCAATATCAGCTGATGGTACAATCTTAAAGTGCGTGAAGGAACAGAGAGACCTGGGTTTTCATATAAGGAAATCTTTGAAGATGGCAGGACACGTAGATAAAGCTGTTTAAATAAAAACACACGAAATACTAGCCTTTATAAATAGGAGCATAGAATACAAAAGTCAGGAAGTTATGATGGAACCTTTATATAAAACACTGGTTAGGCCTCAGCTCGAGACTGTGCTCAGTTCTGGGCACCAAATTTTACAAAGGATGTCAAGACATTGGAGAGAGTGCAGAGGAGATTTCCCAGGATGGTACCAGGAATGAGGGATTTCAGTTATCGGGAGAGGTGAGAGAAGCGAGGATTATTCTCCTTGGAGCAGAGAAGGTTAAGAGGAGACTTCATAGAAGTTTTCAAAATTATGAGGGGATTTGATAGGATGAACAAGGAGAAACTATTCCCACTGGCGGGCGGGTTGGTAACCCAAGGACACTGATTAATTTTTTTTAAAAGAAACAGACGGGAGGTGAGTAGAATTTTTTTTACGCAGCGAGTTGATTGGATCTGCAATGCATCGTCTGAAAGGCTGGTGGGAGTTAATTCGATAACAGCTTTTAAGAGGGAAGTAGATAATTATTTGGGGACCACTAGTTTGCAGGGCTGTGGGAGAAATCCTATGACTTAGCTGCATGACTAAGCAATAAAGGTGACAGTTTTTATTATAACAAGTTCAGTCAATACAAATGAACATAATAGGTAGGGGATTTCATAGATGTCATGGATTTGGACACAAAAACCTGATAACAATCATATCATGGTAACTGTCATGTTCAGAGTAAAGTACAAACACAGAAGTCAGAGCCTGACAGCAACACAATGAAACACAGGAAAAACTATATCAAATTAGCATAGATTAGATTGTGAAACAGAGAATGAGGAGTGATTAGTTGGAAATGTGGAAACATGGAAACAATGGAGTGAAGGTAGACCTGG